GCTACTAAAGCTAACATCAGGGCTGGGCCAGCCCTTTGTTTCCCAGGCACGCTGCATTCTGCTTACCTCTGCCAAAGCACCTCTTGGTAGCTTTCAGGAGTCTGAGGTGTGTGTCCCCTCACTCCCTACCTTTTTTATACCTTATAATACACTTGCATTTATATACAAGTTTTATGTTTTCTTGTATAAAAGGCAAAAAATTGCAAACATTATGACCTTCAAAGTCAGCTACACTTGTACAGATGAGTACTATTGGCTCCCTTCCCTATTTTCTCAAGATACAAACCAATTTTAAATCTTGTCCCACCAGAGTAGCCTGCTTACTAGAAGGCCAGATACTGAGGTGGTGCAGGCCAAGTCTGAGTTTCCACAGAACTGAGCTAAGACTCCCTGGGGTTCTATACAAAATAAAGTCAATCCACTGCTGTTTGAGTTTCTCTCCTGACAATGAACAAACTCCCCAGTGTTCATAATCAGTATTCAGAGGCTATTTTTGTACCATTCAGTTGAATTTTGCTTTTGGAAGCAGGTATGTTTTTAGTAAAAGAAAGTCACTCTATTTCAAATGAACTATTACTCATGGAAGAACTGGAATGTGTTGGAATATTTTCAGAGGCAGATGAGGGCACTGAGTGAAGAAAAGTTTGTGTGTCTTTGTCTCAGCCATCCCAGGCCTAGGAAATCACGGTTTCCTCTCCAGCTGTAGGACCACACTGAGCTCTTCACAGGTTGAAAGTCAGTCTTGGTCTCTGCTCAGTTGTTCTAAGGCTTGTTCAATACACATATTGCTAAATTTATTCAAGTTTGAGTTTGAAGATTTAAGACCAAATTGTCAGTCTTTAATATCAATTTTCTATACAAAAATCTAGTCCTGGCTTCTGAGTGGGGCCAGTGACTGCTGTGTGTTAGGACCAGTATTTGTGTTGGGCAAAAGACTACAGTTATCTTGGGCTGGGAATTTAGCTCAGTGGTTCCGGCACCTGCCACGCAAGTGCAAGGTCCCGAGTTTGATCCCCGGTACCAAAAAAAAAAAAAGACTACAGTTATCTGATATATAGCCTGACAGATTACCTCAGTCGCTTATGCCCACCTTTTCTGTTATCTGTCATATGTTATGAAGGAGGTGTGTTATTATTTGTGATATACAGAATAGTGGCTCCCCACCAAAGATTTCTGTGTCCTAACTTGGGGATTCCTTGAACCCGTGACAGTGAGGCTGCATGGCAAAGGGAAATCAAGGTTGAAGACTCAAGTTGCTAATCACCTGGTCTTAGACAAGGAGAGTGTCCTGATTGTCTGGTGGGCCTAATGCAATGACTGGGTCCTCAGAAGGGCAAGGGAGAGGCAGGAGAGGCAGAGGCAGAGCAACAAGATGAGAAAGACTCAACTGGCTATTTCTGGAGCCATGAAACATGGGCAGCCTCTTAGCTGCAGAAGGCAAGGAAACATTCTCCCCTGCAGTATCTAGAAAGCAAGCCGCTGTGCTCATGTCAGGTATCTGCTGTAAGGATAAAGTTATGTTGGTTAAGCCATGTTTGTGATGATTTGCTGTCACCATTCTGTGTGTTGAAGTTAGATAAGTACAGATTTTCCAGTATCTTGGTTTAAAACCTCAGAGTGCCAAGGTAGCACATCACAAGTTCCAGTTTCTTACCATTGTTTGTGGTATTGCCATGAAGGCCCTGCCTGAGGGAGGGACACTCTCGCTGTGTCACCTGCCCTGATGGCCTGGTGCTGTAGCCCTCTCCCTGCTTTCCCTGTGTCTGCGTTTCTCTAGGGATCACTCCCAGCTGGCGGCCAGCATCTGGAGCAGTCTGTTCTGTGCTGCTGTAACAGAATTCATGGAGCTAAGGAGGCTGGGAAGGCTCAGACCAAGGCACTGGCATCTGCCCAGGGTCTGCTTACTGCATCATCTCCTGGCAGTGAGGTGACAGGGACCAGCTTTACCTCATATGGTGGCCTACGTCTCACCAGTGGCTGCCCGCGGCCTTGTCACCCTTTTCAAAGGTCCCTCTTTTTACTGCCATTACAAAAGCAGTTAAATTTCAATGTGAGTTTTGTAGGGGATACACATTCCAAGGATAGCAAATATCATTAGTCAGAGCTGCTGTTCATGAAGCTATCATAGAACTGCGTAAAGGTTGGAGTCTGCACACTGGGCATGGTGGTACACACCTGTCACCCCCGTGCTTGGGAGGCTGAGGCAAGAGGACTGCAAATCCAAGGCCAAACTGGACTATGTAGGGAGACCCTATCTCAAATAAATTGGAAGGAAGGAAGGAAGGAAGGAAGGAAGGAAGGAAGGAAGGAAAGAAAAGTAGAATCTGAACCCTAGTGGGAAGTGAAACTGGAAACCAAATTCCAGTTGCTTGGAGAACAGACAGCATCATTGGGGAAAGTTGCTGATGTTGAGGGTGCAGTATTTTAGGAGTTGGGTCACAGTCTGCATGTTGACTGGGGAAATGCTGTTCTTTTGAAGTGTTCTCTAACTCTGGAAAAGCATCAGGTGAGACTTCTGCCCAGGGTCAATTTAAAACAAGTTGGCTCTTCTTCAGAGAGAGCTTCAGAATTCAGGCCAAAGATCAGGGTCCTACTAGACAGAAGGAGAATAATACTGAGGCTGACCTGGTTAGTCACACCTGCTGCTACAGGCTGCACTCTGCACTCTGGAGGCCACTGAGCTCAGAGAAGTGGACATGTGACCACAGCATGAATGGACTTTGAAACACTGTGCTGCATGAGAAAAGCCCGTCTCAAAAGCCCACATCCTCTGGGACTGTATTTACATGAAACTCCCAGAACAGGCAAACCCCTAGACTGGTGGTTGCTGAGGGCTGGAAGAACTCAGGAAGATGAGGAAGTGATTGCTAATGGGATGGAGTTTCTTTGCAGGCTGATGAATGTGGTCTAATACTGTTTGTGGTTTTGGCTACACAACTCTTAAGTATCCCTCACCTTTGAATTGTATATTTTCAATGGATCCAGTAGTTGCATCTTGGAAAGCTTAAAGCAGTATTGAGCTTTGATAAAAGCAGCTTCTGAGAGTTTCAGAGGTACTGTATCTTTTCTGGAACTGGAGCTATCATGGTCAAAAGATGCTACCATCTTCCTTCCTTCCGATGAGTTCTTGAGTATGCTTAGGATTGGTTTATTGATTGGGGAGGCGGTGGTCTTGCTAGACAACTTCTGCTTGTGTTTGGAGATTGCCCTTGTTCCTGGGCTCATGGATGGCCTTGGTCCTCCAGGTCATGGCCAGTTTGGTGACATGAGACTGTGATGCACTTTGCTATAGCTGTATGTATTTTGAGGTATTGTGTGTCCTCTGCATGTCCTTTTAAGTCTCACATTTTCATAAAATGAGAAACCTGGAAAAATGGTCTGACGGGACATCCAATGTGGTTGATTTTGAAGATGCAATTGTTTGCCTTTTGTACATGGGAAGGGAGATCTGTGTTGTGAAATCTGTACAGTTTTGGTAGTTACCTTGCCATCCAGCTGGCTGTGGCACATTCCTAGACCTTTGGTTTGTGTAAGGCTCTAGGGATGAAGATACAGGTCACTTTGCTTGGAGGTGCTGGAATCACCTGTGGCTAGGGGCACTACTGTCCCTCAGCCATCCTAGAGGACCCCACGGGCCTGAGGAGAGGGCAGTGGCTTAGTGGTGGTGGCTAGAGTGCTTGATCCAGAGCCACTCCCTGTGTTGCCTCCAGCACACAGCCTCAGTCCCCAACCTGCTCCAGTGTCCCCTTGGCTTCCTGGTGTACCAACACAGAGAGGCATTAATCCTCAGGAACCAGTTACTCAGCTAATTAGTCATTGCCTTCTTGTCATTCAAGAAACCACAGTGGAAGACGTTGTGCTAGTTCCTGGTGTAGACACCAAAGCCCACAGAGATGGACATGTCTATAATTTAACAAAAGAGGAGGAAGGAAACCTGTCACCCAGAAGAACTAACTGTAAGAGTGCAGTGAAGGAACCACCTCTTGCAGGAACACAAAGGAGGTGAGGTCCTGTGCTGTGTGCCCAGAACAGATGGTCTGATCTGGGCGAAGTGGCACAGGCCTGAGCCGTGGGAGACTGGCTAAGAAGGCAGATGGGAGCCAGGCTCCTGAGGATTTTAAGTGCAGGATACCTGCATTGTGACATGGGTCATCCAACACCTGCTAAGGGCTGGACACTGCTGGTGTTCATCTCCATGGCAGCCTGGCGGATGGCTGTCATTGTTACCTTTCTGTAGGAAAGCCAGTGAGACGATGTGATTTACCAAGATATTGTAGCTGATATGAGACAGAGTTGGAATCTGAGCTGGCCTGCATCCTGTCTACTCTGTTATCTTGTATTCTTTCTAGAGACAAAGCTGTTACATGAAACAGTGAAGATGCTCAACATGACATTAGGTTGAGACATATGGAAATGCAATTTTTGTAGGTCAAGATGGCCAGTTCATAGGCATCCAAGCATGGTAGCACATGCAGCAATAATCCTAGCACCCTAGGAGGCTGATGCAGGAGGATCTCAAGTTGGAGCCCCACCTGGGCAACCTAGTGATCTAGCAAGACTCTATTTCAAAATAAACAAATAAAAAAAGGTTGGAAATGCAGCACAGTATGAAGGGCCTGGGTTCAGTCCCCAGTTAAAAAAAAAAAAAAAGGTGGCCAAATATTAGCAGCATCATGTGGTTTAACCTAATACAGAGTGAGATGGGGCTCAGAGAGAGAAATAGAAACCTCTGTGTGCAGGCATGGTTTTGCAGAGGTTTCATGGAGGAAGCAGGGACAGAGCAAGGGTTTCTTGAATGGCAAGAAGGGTTTGAAAGGTTTCTAGACTCCAGTTGGGTAGAAATGGGGCAGGAGAAGCGCAGGCTGAGAGGTGTGTGGTGCAGATACTCCAGGGGCCAGGGGCCAGGAGCCTGGGGCTCTATGTCAGGGAGACCTGTGAGCCCTCCCAGCCTCAAGAGGTGTTCACATGCCCCATTCATTCTGCTGGTCCTCTTCCTGCAGGAGACAGGTGAGCAGATTGCCATCAAGCAGTGCCGGCAGGAGCTCAGCCCACGGAACCGGGAGCGCTGGTGCCTGGAGATCCAGATTATGAGAAGGTAAGGCCTAGGCACAGAACTGCCAGACCCACTTTAGCGGCTTGGGAACATTGAAGTGAGATCTACACTGTCGGGACCCCAGCAGGGCTGTGCAAATACATGGTGTTAGCTGTCCCATCACTGGGACAAAATACTTGATACCTGTAACTTAAAAGAGGAGAGGTTTATTTTGGCGCATGGTTTCAGTGGGTTCAGTCCATGGTAAGCCAACTGCAAGGCAGAAATGGCATGGAGGGAAGGCATGGCAGCCGGAAAGTAGAAGGAGGAGCCAGGGACAAAAATATACCCTTCCACATCATGCCCCTTGTGACCTGCCCCTTCCGACTAGTCCCAACCTCTGAGCACATGAGACTTTTGGTGGATATTTTAGATTGAAATCGTGACAGATGGTTCTCCCCTTCTGGAGACTCCTGACAGAGTGGCATTTAAAGAGGTCATTGAGCCTAATAGTCACATTTATTTCTTGTAGTAAATAATTTAAACTAGTCATTATAGCTAAGTGCAGCGACACCCACCTGTAGACCCAGCTACTTGGGAGGCTGAGGTGGGAAGATCACTTGATCCCAGGAGTATAAGGCCAGTCCTGGGCACATAGCAAGGCCGCATCTCAAAAATAAATAAATAGGGCCGGGGATTTAGCTCAGTGGTTTCGCCGCCTGCTGCTCAAGCGCAAGGACCCAAGTTTGATCCCCGGTACCAAAAAAAAACCAAAAAACAAAAATAAATAAATAGTTACCGAGGTGAATTTTCCTTTGTCACCAAAAAAATCCTCCCCCTATGTTTCCAGTTCTGGGGTGGTATGTGACTGCTGTCAGCCTATGGCTAGTATTTGTTGCTAATAGAGTGGAGACAGAGTCTGTTGCTTGCCAGGTGGATGCTGTCCTCCTGGGCTTGTGGGGCATGTAGGTGAGCACTGTGCATCCCCTGTAAGACAGCAAGCAGGTGCTCCCTCTGCCAGCTCGTTAAAAGGGTGTGCACATGCACACGCTGACCCTCCTAATCAGCATGAGCTTGGAAGTCCCTCTTGTTTTCTCTGCTTTTAGAAGCAGTTCTGTAGTACAGTGAGGATGTGAGACAGGCACTCTACAGACTCTTAAGTGACACAAGGTGCACTGACAGGGTACCTGAGCTCAGGGTGCTAGAAGTAGAGCTGGCGGCTGCTGCTGACCAAGGTGCAAAGGGAAGCAAGTCACTGGGCTGGGCCCTGCTTTTCTGTGTCCTCCAAGGGCCCTTCCTTGTCCCAGGCCTTGGCTGGAAGGTGAGCTTGGCTGGGACATGAAGCAGGAATAGGTTTGAGCTGAAGCCCAGGTTCTGCTCTTACTGGTTTCTCTTCCCTTCCTAGGCTGAACCACCCCAATGTGGTTGCCGCCCGAGATGTCCCTGAGGGGATGCAGAACTTGGCACCCAATGACCTGCCCCTGCTAGCCATGGAGTATTGCCAAGGAGGAGACCTCCGTAAGGTGAGGTTTCGGGGTCTTGGAGTACTCGGCCTGGATGGGATGCCGGGGATGGAGAGAAGGGGATCTTTGCACCGATGTCATCACCAGCAAGCTCAGGGAGCCATGGTGACTTCAGCAGGCTTATCGTTCTCACACCCCCTCCTCCGTGCTTGCTTTTGGGTGTTTATGCGTGTGAATCAGGAGCCTTGATGAGGAAGCCAGGGAGGAACTCTGTATATCCTGCACCATGATCACTAAGATGACGGGGAAAAACTGTCATCCAAGCTGAGCCACGAGGAGAGACTGGACACGTTCCAACTCAAACTTCCCCTCCTTCAGCTGTCATGGCCACCTTGGGCTTTCAGGGTCAGCCTCACTGCTGTCCTTATGAGGAGGGGCTTTCTGCAGGTGTGACAGTGGGGCGCAGCATAGCAGGAAGGGAGCCGGTTTAGTCATCTGGGAACCAGGCTGTGGTTCAGACCTGGCCCTGACTCACCTGGAGCTCTGCCTTCTTCCTCCTCGCATCACCTCTTCTGTGCGAAACCCAGAGGGTGACAGCAGCCCTCGCTGACCTCAAGGACCGTTCTACGTGCCACCTCCCAGGTGTACTCCACAATCTGCTTTCACCTAGCACCATGGTTGTGGTCTTTAACAGTTGTGGTCTTTAATCTTGGTGCGTAGATGTGATTGTTAGGTTACAGACAGGCACCCGGGCCCAGGAGGGCAGGATGACTGCCGGGCCTCACAGCCCCAGCAGGGCTTGGGTCTGTGATTTTGGATGATGCAGTGTAACATTATGAAAAGACAGCTTTTTGTTTTTCTTTTTTAATCTGTTCTTAGCACAGTTCTTCTCAGCTCTTAATTTCAGAGGGTCTGTGACTTGTGAGGGGCAGGGGTGGTGACTGCCTGGGCATTTGTTCCATCTGGACATGGCAGTTCCCAGGGCACACTGTGTGCTTTTCTCATTGCTCTTATCTTATAAAAGGGAAATTTCCATGAGGGTTGATCTGCATGAGTGACTGTCCCACCATAGGTGGTAGGCATATCCCTGGAAGGATGCAGTGCCGAGCAGGATGTGAACACAGTGGTTGGCATAACCCAGGAGTGGACTGATAACCGATAAGAAATGGGGAACTTGACAGTTCTTTCTGTGTGTTCCTGACCTTGTGGCACTCATCCATCACTGACTGTGCTTGTGTGGAGATAAAGCCTTGGTGTAATAGAGTGACCTGGTCTGTGAGGCAGCAAAGAACCAGTGAGCCAAGGATGAAGATGACGAAATGTCAGCATGACTGCTCTAGCATGGGCTGTAGGCAGGTCTCGGGGAGACCTGAAGAGAGGGCATCCTAAGGGGCCTGTCCTTGAGGTGCAGTGCTGGGGAGGGTGCTGTAGCTCAAAGTTCTTGTGATCTGTGGTGCCCATTGTTCCCCAAATGAGGCAGCCTGTCTTCCTCCTCTAAAACACACAAAATCTGTACCCGTGGGCACAGAGACACACTTGGCCATCACGTAAGCAAATGCCAAGGTCAGAATTGACTTAAAGAATTAAGTCTGGCAAGAGGGAGGATGGCTTGAACCCAAGAGTTCCAGGCCAGCCTGTCAACATAGCAAGAACCAGTCTCAAAAAAGACTGGAAAAAAAGACCCAAAGAGGGCTGGGGATTTAGCTCAGTGGTTCCGCCATCTGCCTCGCAAGCGCAAGAACCTGAGTTCGGTCCCTGGTACCAAAAAAATAAAAAAAGACCCAAAGAGAATGAAGACTTGAGTGCTGTATAGGTTAAACAGGCCCTTAAATGTTCAGGAAGATAAATGTTAACCATGGCTGAGAGCCTCAGTTGGAAAGTTACTTTCTCTGCTGTCTCTGTTTGAGGTCAACTTGCAGCAGCATGCTGAGCCTCTCAGCAAATGGCAGGCCTGGCAGGCCAAGGGCTAAGTGAGGATGTGGATCAGGAGGTCTTGGCTTCTGCTTCCAGCCCTGCCCCTAATCCTGTGTTTGCTGCAGACACTGGACTCTTCTGTTCTCAGCTTCCTCATCCCTGCTCCAGAGAGCCCCGCAGTGCTTAGCTTCGAGGGCACAGGGAGATGTGGGAGGATCCAGAGGTGAGCCCAATGCCGACTCACAGCAAGTGCATACTAGATGCTCCTGCCTGTCACTACCTACATGGCAAGTTATGTCAGGGAAGTGTCAGGGTGGCCGTGGGACTCCCCAGAGCTGACACTCAGTTGCAGCTGAGCTTAGACTCTGTCCTCCTTCTGACCTGTCGTGGCAGGTGAGGCTTGAAAATTCCTCACCCTGGAGTGAGCCAGATGCCACCTGCCAGGGCCCATGCTGTGGACATCTGAGGGCCTCTGGGGACTGCCTCTGCCTCCGCTCTTGTACTTCCCAGGGCATTACAGAATCAAGTCCCCAGGCCTGGGGCCCGGTGCTCACACTCAGGTGGCCTCAGCAGGTGGTGCACTCTGGCAGGTTGACTGGTGACTTGTGACCACTCCCACTGATTTTCTTTCCCTCTCTTGGCAGTACTTGAACCAGTTTGAGAACTGCTGTGGCCTGCGGGAAGGAGCCATCCTCACCTTGCTGAGTGACATTGGTAAGCCCCAGCTCTAGTAGGCAGTTGTCCCCACAGAGAGACCGTGTGGGGCCTTGTGAGCCCCTGCAGAGCACAGAAGGGAGCTGGCCCCATCCTGTGGTCTTTACAGAGAGTGGACAGGGCATGGAGGGCCCAGGGGGCGTGGAGGTCAGCAAGGGGCTGGTCAGGCCGGCCTGGACTCAAGTAGCTCTCCCTTCCTTCCAGATGAAATCATGGAAAGTAACAGATTTCCTTTCCCATTGGGAGCTCTGCTCCCTGCTTTCCTGGAAAGGCCAGTGATGGAGGTGGTTGTCATTTGTGTGAATTCCATCCCTTGGCCATGAATTTTTCCACTCTGTGTTGCCAACTACAGGTATAGGAAAAAACTTTCTCCGTTTAATCCTTTGGTCCTGCCAGCATCCTCAGAAGAGGTTTTGTGGCACTCTGAGAAGGCCAGGTGGCTCTGGGAAGAAGGGCTGTCTCACAGGAGAGTGTCTCCTAGGCCCTGGGGCTGACTCCAGAGGGTGGGGCTTGAAGGTCAATGGCAGCCCTGGCGTGGGGAAGTGGACAGCACAGGTGCTACTAAAACCTGCTCAGGGCTTTTTAAAAAATAATTTCCAGGGATATTGGTGTAGGTTGATAGCTTGGATCTGAGGGTCAGAGTTACCCAGAGTTTATCTTTGAGTATTTGCCCCAGGTTTGAGGATGATACCATTTTCATACCTCTCCATCTCAGCCTTTGAAAGCTCTGTGTACCTTTCATTTGCTCAAATCTTTTTTTTTTTTTTTTTGTCAAATGGTCAAATATATTGAAAAGTTAAAAGAGTAAAGTGAGCAAACTCAGATACCTCTCAGCTTCTTTACCAGGCATTCACATTTGTCACACATGTAAAGCTGTGCCCTGCGCCTGTAGAGAGGAGAGACCTCTCTTGACACTCATGCCTTGTGAGCATGAGTTGTGTCTTCCTTACTCTGGCGCATTGGCTGGAGGGCAGTGAAAAGGAAATAAGGGGAGAAGTCACAAAATGACATGTATAAGACTGAGCCAAACAGTCTGACATAGAAAACACCCATCTCCCTCTGTATCCTGTCTCTGCCTTTTTGATGGAGCTCATTTGGAGGGCAAAGTGACATAACCCCATTGTGACCTTCCCGGTGTGGCGTTCTCCATAGGCACCTGTGGGAAGATCCCTTACTGCCTTCAGGCCCTTGTGCAGAAGTCAGGAGTCCACCTTGCCTCCTGGCTCCCCAACACATTTTGCTTAGATATTTACTTCATTGTAGCTTTTAAAACAGGTTACTAGGTTGGGGAATATTCTTTTATTCTTCATGGTCAACTTCTGTTAGAATTTATAGGTTTTTGTGTTGTGGCACTGGGGATTGAACCCATGGCCTTCGTGCTGAGTTACAAGTTGCCCAGGCAAGGGTCAAATTTGTGATCCTCCTGATCAGCCTCCCAGAGTGCTGGGATTACAGGTGTGTACCATCGTGCCGGCTAAGAAGTTCTTTAGAGTATTGGCTCAAGTACACAAAACTGTCTACTGCCTCATGATGCTTTACTTCTAGTGATTTTCTACTGGAACTAATCGTGCCTCCACTGACTGCAGATTCTTTTGGTCTGGGTGCATTTTGAATCCATTTAGCTCTTGGCTTATGTGGGAGCTTTTGCATTATCCAAATTGCTATGTGTGTGTGTGTAAGTTATGAGAAAATCAGATAAGGAAGATAGGTGAGCGCTGAAGTGCTAATATGGTACAGCTGTCCTGTGGATAGTGGATATTAAATTCTTTTTTTTTTTTTTTTTTTGGTATTGGGGATCGAACTCTGGACCTTGCGCTTGCGAGTCAGGCAGCAGAACCACTGATCTAAATCCCTGGCCTAGGATATTAAATTCTTTAGGTCACTGATCCTTTGTTGTTCCTCTCTGTGACCCCAAATTAGAAATAATTAGACTCTGAAGGACTAGCACACTAGAATTTTAAGTTTTGTTTTTATGTTCTGTATCATTGAGCTCCTCCCCCAGCCCTGGATTAAACTTCTTAAAGGCAGAAACTTTGCTTACTCTTTGTCTCCAGTATCTATAGCAATAGTATCTTGTATATATTAGCTTCTCTATAAATATTTATCAAATAAATGAAATAAATCCCAAAGTAAATTAAAATAAGTAAGGACTTATTTTTTTTTCAAATCCAGATGTCCACATATTATTAACACTCCCACCTCACAAAGCCGCACTTCCACTTATTAACAGTATGACCTGGGATGTGTTACTTGATTTTTTGGAATTTATATTTCATTGGCGGTAAAAATGTGAGTGTTGCTCACCTTGTTGGATTATTATGAGGAGAAAATGAGGGAATGTACATGAAGCCCCGGCACAGTGCTCATTCCCTAGCAGAATGGACATGCTGCAAATGATCCTTCCTTGCTCATCGGGTTGTGACCTGAGGTTGATTGGCAGACCTCACACAGGCTATCTCTGGAGGCTCCCTTCCTGGAAGTGGCAGCCTCCCCTTACATTCCCCTCTTCATCACCCACAGATGCAGTCACTTCCTCTGAGTTTGTGGGTGAGGCTCAAGTCCCTGCTCAGTTTGTATGTTACTTTTATTCACATTTCTGGTTTATGTATAGGACCCATCAGATTTATTTCTTTTGAAAGGATTTCATGACTGAGTCAGAGTTCTGCAGCTGTATGGAGCAGTCATCTAAAAACTTTTTTTGTTTTACACATTTCCTGAGCATATTTTGTTCCAGTGCTGGCCCCACGCACCTTTTGTTGGAGCTGGCTGTTGTTCACTGCCCGAGTGGAGTGACTTCAGATAAGGGAAGAGCCACACCCTCAGCCAGTTCATTGCCTTCTCTGCTGGTTTAAACTTGTTTGCCCCTAAGGTGCTCTGTGCCCCTAAGCTTCAGGGATGCCTGCTCAGAGCAGCAGCAGTAGACTCAAGTAGGATTTGTCCAGCAAGTGTAACTTCTAGTGAGATCCTGCAGAGCACCCATGGAAAGTGAGCTGGTGGCTGGCAGGCACAGGTTGTCAGGCCTTGCCCCTACGCCTGCAGGCAGCCAGAGATTATTCAGACTTCCATGTAATGAGACCCGAAAATAGCTCACAGAAGAACCCTATTTAGAATCTTGCTCCTTATCCTTTGGAAAACACTGAGTTGTGTTTCTTTTCCTTCTACCAGTGGAGGGGCAGCTTCTAGGCAGTCAAGGGCAGGGGCAGTGGCAGCTTACCTGTGCTGGAGTGGGGCTGGAGATCCTACTGACTGAGGCTGGCTGGGCAGGTTGGGACCCAGCTGTGTGACCAAGGACCATCAGGTTCTGTGTTACAGTCTCTAGGTCCTGGCTGGCTGTGCTGACTGGCAGTCAGCTTTCTGTTACTCTAACAAATACCTGAGATAAGCAATTTATAAAGAGAAAAGGTTGTTTGGCTCACAGTTTGCAGCTTTAGTGCATGATTGTTCAGCTTATTCAGATTGTTCACCATTGCTTTTGGGCAGAGAGTGTGTTCACTGCAGGACCAGGATGCGAAAGAGATGGAAAGAGTCAAAGGGAAAACAGCTGGGGTCCCACTGTCCCCTCAAGGGCACACACCCAGGAGCTGGAAGACCTCTCACGAGTCCACCTCCCAGGGCTCCACACCTCCCGGTAGTGCTGGGCTGGGGCCCGAGCCTTTACAGGCAGCGCTGGGAGAATCCGAGCCAAGCTGTAGCCCCAGCCTTGTTGCTGTTGAGAGTCCTGTGTCACCATCTCCACTCCTGCTGGGCATCCAGAATGTCAGAAATGAGTGGAGAGGGTGCCAGGAACACACAGCCTGCCTGAGGAAGAGAGCTCCATGCTAGGAACTGGAACATTGGGTGCTCTGTGTAGGGTTTCCCTCCTCCTGGATTTTCCTGCTGATTCTGTTGAACACATTGATCTGACTCCACTGTCGATTATAACCAAAAGATGATTACTTGATCTCAGATCATCTGTCTAGAAAGCGAGTTGGAAAAACATAACCAGATTAACAAATATAATAATAGTAGTAACAAAAGGCAGGATGATGGCTTTTGCTCCTAGCTCTGTAACCTTGGCACAAAACTTTGTGGACTTGGGTGTCCTCATGTTCAGAATGCGATGTCTGGGCCTCTGCGTGATTTCCCGGGTGCCTTCTACCCTACTGCTCTCACTTCACTCAGATAGCTGACCTTTGGGATGATTGCCCGAAGTGTCATTGAGGGCCACTCAGCCGTCCCAGCCCAGCTACTTCCCCCTGACTCGAGCCTTAACTTATGTGTCATTGCCAGGAGCTTTGTCTCCCTAATTTCTGTTCGTTCTTTCTCTATTTTGTTTGGCTTTATCTGCCCTGGACCCCTGGCTCTCTGCTTCCTAGCACTCTCTTTGCCAGGCTGTTCTTGTGATGTCTTTGTCAAATATATCCCTCCTACAATCTGCTCTCTGTCCTGAAGTCTGTATCCATGTCTACAGGATATGTCTTCCAAAGTTAATTCCAGATTGAAGTCCTAGGCATCCTTTTTCTTGTGCCACTAGACCCATCTTTCTGCCAGTCACTCAGATACAAATGTCACAATTTTGCATCTTGTCTCTTACTAGAACCTACCCCTGTTCCTTTTCCATACCCCCCATTCAAAGTGTTTGTGGGAGTCAGGGTGCGCCTCAGTGGTAGAGTGCTTGCCCAGGATGTACAAGGCCCTGAGTGCATCCCCAGCCACACACCCACACAGTTTCCAAATCCAACCCTCCTCCCTTGTTCTATATACCCGCTTCCCTATCTTCTGCTGCTATCTCCGCTAGTTCGGTATAGAGCAGATCACTGCCATGACCTCTTACACTTTATCTGCCTTTTGCTAATACATCTTTCGTGCCTTTGAAAGGACACTTCTTTCATAGTTCACTGCTAGCTAATGGCCAAACCCCTAAATGGTGCATTTCCCCCTGCCCATTGTGGCCCTTGTGTGTGTACCCTACCTGACTCTTGGAACCACTCTCCAACCCTCCAGCGGCCTGCAGGGTTCCAGGGACCTTCAGCCATTCTCCTTTGAGGCACAGCTTTAGATCTGGGCCTTCACGCAGTGACTGTTTCCTGTGATTCTGCTGCTTGGTAAATGGTTACTGAGTGGATGGGAGGAGGACTTTGTACTTTCCCCTTAGGCTTGGTGTTGCTGCCCTGCCACAGTCCTCATTAGTCATGGAGCCTGTTTTAGCCAAGAAGCCTTGCACCAGACTAAGTCTTTCTCCACATGGCTACAGTTGGCCTTCCAGTCTGTTTTGTCTGGCAAGTCCAGTGGCACACAGTAGACACACAGTCAGTTTTGATGAGTGTATGAACATCCTGTTGCCTGTGTACTCAGTGGTGACCTAGACCTCCAGTTGGTGACAACCTTTTCTTCTGATGTCTATCTTGAGTTTTCAGTCCCTCTCTTTCCAGTTCTTCTCAAGGGAGTGTATCTCGAACAAGTGTTCTGAAGGGAGCTTAGCAACGCTTTGGTGCCTGTCACATGATGGGTAGGGACTCATGGACACAGCCTTCCAGCACATCTTCTTGCAGGAAGTCCAGGCACTCCATCTGTTCCTAACTTGTGTTTTGTCATCTGAGAAAATACACAAGCTGTTATTTGGAGTTCTGGTTCATCAGGAATAACCACAGGGTGTTCACATTCTTCACTTAGGTGTTCAATCTGCCATAGCAATGAAAGGAGAGCTGGGGCAGCTCCCTGGGGGTCGTTCCTAACTAAGATGACAGCAGCTGTCACTTCCTGTGGTGAATTCTTCACCTCTCCTCTCTGCAGTGTCTGTACTAGGAGATACCATGGTGTCATTGAATCAGCATGGGGCAGCAGTGCTGGAACCCGGACCTCACCCCTTCTAGGCAAGTGTGCTCTACTGAGCTACACCCCCAGCCCGTGTGGTGTAATTGGAACATGAGACGTTAACCATGTGTTGTGATGACATGCTTTTCAACTTTTTTTATAAGTGCATACTATCACTATTACCAGGGGTTTGATTTTTGTATTTTGCAGTCATGCAGATTGAATCCAGGGCCCTCACACTGAGCTATATGCCCAGCTCTCATTGTGTTTTTTAATTTTTACTTGGGTAAGTTGACAAGCTGTCCAAATGGAGCTCAAACTCTCGATCCTCTTGCCTCACCTCCCGGATGTTCATCCCCATATCCAGCCTTGCTAGGAGCTTAGATTTTTTTCATAAACTTCCAGATAGATGCAGCCCTGTTTTTCTTAATCTCAGTATCACATTTTCCATCCAGTTTAAGTTAGTTTCTCTCAGCTTGAGGTAGTTTCCACCATCCCCGATCCAGCTCCACAAGCGCTGTTTTGTGAACTGTAGCACAGTCAGACAGAGGTGCTGTGTGTGAGGAAATCCTCAGGAGGCCTTGGCAGCAGAAGTTCTACTGCTGTGGCTCTGTCCCATCCTCTCAGCTAGGAAACCATGTCTTCCTGTGCCAATCAAACTCTTAAATCTCAACTTTATTAAGCCCACAGGAATATGGAAAATAAATGACTCCCTTGAAATGAGGCTAAGAATTTGTTAAGTACAGTTACTTAAATATCAGAAAAGATGGCTATTGATAGTCCTCAGGGCATAGGGCACCAGCTGCATCCTTCCCTCTGAGATCTGGGGCAGCTCAGCACCATCATCCATGTGCAGTTTTTCCTCCTCACCAGGGGCCGGGTGGATGCCCCACCTGTACCTGCCCCATGGTGTCCCCCTAAGATGACATACTTCTGGCTCCAAGGTCCTTGTCGTAGTCTTGGCCTAGAAACTTGCTCAAATTACAGTAAGTCTCAACTTTCATATATTCTGCTTTGTTCTAACAAACCAACTCACACTTTTGTGCACAGTGGTACCTTGGTTCATGAACTTAATTTGTTCTGTGATTTTGGAAAAGATGGCCATGTTTGTGTTTGTATAGGAAAGATGGCCATGGTCATGTTTGTCACCCGATGCAGAGTTTGCAAGCAAAAACAAAATTTTACCAAATGCTTCTGTTTGTGAACCAAATTGTTTGCAAACAAAAGTGTTCATGAAGCAAAGTACTACTGTATTATATCCTCATCTTCTCTAGCAGTGTGTCATCTACCAAAATGGGTCTTTTGTGCATCCATCACTGAACAGACTGTTGTGTTTTTTGCTTGTTTTAGTGGTACTGGGGATTGAACTCAGGGCCATCACATTAAGCTATATCCCCAGCATGCCCCCTCCAATTTTAATTCTTTTATTTTAAGACAGGATCTTGCTAAGTTGCACAGGCTGGGCTTGAATTTGTGGTCCTCCTGCCCGAGGCTCCTAGAATCCTGGGATTATAGACATGCGTCACCACTCTTGGCTCTGACAAACTTTTCGAGTTATCACATGGCTCCTTGGTGATCAGTAGCTTAGATTCAGTAGTACTGGCATCCCTATCTGCAGGGTTGTGTAGGTGCAGTTGTTAGAAAAAGTGCTTTGATGAAACATTGGTCTTTAGAAGTTAATAATACAGTTGAGAACAAGATGAAGGTGAGTTCTTCAGGCATAGGGAAAACAGCAAGTCTTTGACTTCTTTGATCAGTACTGGGCTTAAACCAGTTTACTGTGTCACTTAAGAAAGTAAAGAAAATAAAGAATAACTAGGAAATGGAGCTTTGAGGCCAAAGCCTGGGTTTAAAAAGGCAGATGTAATTCAGAGTTTTGTCTTAGGGCTTAATGTCTTGATCTAGAACTCCCCTACTAAGATGCACTTGTATTGTGTAGCTGTCTTTCAGCTGCATTTTTAAGAAACGCTCACCTAAGTCTTCACAGAGCTGCTTGAGCCCTCTCTGTCCATGGGCTGCCAGGCTGCCTTGGCTGCTTCTCAGTCTTGCCGGGGTGTGTGTGTGTGTGTGTGTGTGTGTGTGTGTGTGTGTGTGTTTACATGTGTTTTGTGAAGGATATGTATGTGTTTGTGTGTGTGCTTAAGTGTGGGCATGTATTTATGTATGTGTGTTTGTGTGAGGGCTATGTGTATGTGTTTGCGTGGGTGTGTTTATATGTGTGTGTATATGTTTATGTGTGTGAAGTATGTGTCTATGTGGTGGTACAGAGAGGGCTTGTTATTTAGCCTCTCAGTGTTGTTTTTACTTTTGCTTTTTATTTACTTTGTTCCCCCCAAAATAAAAACCGGTAATACCATTTACTTGGTAGTATATCATTGGCATCTTCTGAGTCAGAAACTACAGACCCAAATTATTTTTAAGGAGCTGCCTATTATAATGTGAACCAACCATAATTTGTCCAGTCATTCCGTTATGGTTGACATTCACTTTATTTCTAGTTGGTTTACTTCATGCTGTGCAGAAGGTGTACTATCCTTATACTTGTGTCACAATGCTTTTGATTTTATAAGCTGGAGTCCCAGCGGTGGAAATAATGGTTAGAATAATTTTACAATTTAATAGATGTCTCCATGTTACTGTACTTAAAAAAAAAACACCTCACCCATTTTTACTCCTTCCAGCAATGTAGAATAATGCCTTTTATTTCTCATTTTAAATTCTTAATGGCTGAAAATGAAAACGAAAAAAGGCATTTCATGTTGCTTTCCCTTTGCATTTTCTGACTACTGGTGAGCTTGAGCGACTTTTCAGCTAGATAAGCTGACATAGAGCAAAGCTATTGACTTGTATATGTTTGTTTTGTTTCCAGCCAACTTACTAACACTCCAGTTTTTAGTCTATTGAATTCTCTAGTCACATCCTCTCCCAGTGAGGATAGTTTTCTCTCTTTCTAATAGTGCATTTTTCTCTTCTGCAGTACAGTTATCTGGGACTCCATTGAAGCCATTAAACTGCTCTTAAGTACAGTAACAACCCTGCCTTGTTGCGGTCCAAGCTGCCGATGGACAGATCCCCGTAGCTGTGAGCCAGGCCCTTTCTCTTCTCCCATCTTCACATGGGGACAAGCTGTGGGTGTCAAATGGCTTCACTGAAGGGCAGCACAGAATGCTTCTTTCCCTGGTAGATTCTGAGCTTTCTAGAGCTGGGGACATAGCCCTGTCATATCTGCAGAATCTACCAGGAAACTCAGCGCACTGTAATACACATTGAACTGTCCAAAAAGTTGAAGGTTTCCCTGCTCTGTTTTCATGTTCCCCACTTGTTCCTTGAAGCTAGCACTTACTACTAGAAGTAGTCTCTGCCCAAAGGGCCCTTCTCCCTTGCTCACCTAAAGAATTTAGGCCTTTGTCCCAGGGCAGCTCCCTTCTCAGATTTTATTAGCGTAAGCATCACCTGGAGATTTAGGATCCAGTAGTGAGGCCTGAGAGTTTTGCATTTCTGACTTCAGTTGCTGTGGTCCATGTAGCATGATGTGAGATCACTGCCTTAGACAGTAGCCAGTGACCTCATGGATACAAAGTTAAACGCTTTTGACTTTTTTTTTTTAGGACACAATAGCATGAAGAAGCCAGAATCTAGTGGTAGTCAAAGTTCTGCTCATCCAGCCAGGTCCCCTTCATTCTGCCCAAGGAGCATCTTCCCAGGCCTCTCCCTCCCCTGGGAGTCTGTGCACCAACAGTCAGAGTGTGCTTCAGGACACATAGTAGGAGATTCTGAAGTGAACGGCATTTCCTAGGCCTAATAAAAACTCACTTCCTTTCCACCCTTCCAGCATCAGCACTTAGATACCTTCATGAAAACAGAATCATCCATCGAGATCTAAAGCCAGAAAACATCGTTCTGCAGCAAGGAGAGCAAAGAGTGAGTGACCCTCAGGAAGTCTTGGGGTGCCTCGGGAGGTGCCTGGTAGAGACGGAACTGTGCTGTAGGTTTGTTTATGTTCACATTTCCTTGAGTCATGGTTTGATTCTCTGGCAGTGCTTTTTGATTTGAAACAAAACTCAGCAAAACAGTTGTTGCTTGAAGACTGAGGCAGGTTTGAATGAATCACATTGTTAGTTCCCTGTGTTGTAGGAATCTGAGAAGGAAAATAATGTTTGTTGTCCTACCTCTACCCTCAGCCTCTGGGATTAGCATTTAGAAACAGACTTTGTTTTCCATTTGTTTTTTGATTCTACAATGGAACCCAGTGTAAGTTGGTTGTAGATGTGGCTGAGAAGAAGCCCTTGGACGTAGTACCTGTTTATCTCGAGCCTGCTCCAGCCTGCAGTTTCCTCAGAGCTCTCTGTGGCCCTCTTGAGAGGCACCCTGCGTAGGCACGGTGGTCGCTGGGGCTCACCCTTGTGTTTGTTACCTCTTTTTTTTTTTTTTTTTGGTACCGGGGATCGAACTTGGGTCCTTGTGCTTGTGAGGCAGGTGGCGGAACCACTGAGCTAAATCCCCGGCCCATCACCCTTGTGTTTGTTCAGCAGGGGTGAGGAGTAAGGCCCAGTGAGTGGAATGGACTAACTCCGAGGCCACTCAGCTCTCCTTGGTAGCACTTTTGTCAGCAACACAGACCCACCCGAGCTATGACTGTGACAGGGTCATCCACTCATTTTTGCTGGTAGTTCCAGAATTTGAGGACTGTTTCCTAAGAAGGGGCTGGGGTCTCTCACATTAGAAATCCAGGCTTGGTGCTCTTGAGGGCTGGTTTATAGCCTGCTAATGTTGGCTTCCCTTTGATGATCAGAGGCAGAGCAAGACAAAACATATACCTAGAATTTTTACAGTGTGCGTTTTCTCTTGCCCTGAATCTGCCATGTTGAGGGCATTCTCCTTTGTTATGTGGTGGCTCTTAGGAATCTAGGATCTCATACCTCCTGGGAATTTAGAAATATCTCTGCTCTAATGGAAAGACAGTGTGTTCTTATAACCCATAGATTTCTACTTCCTTTTTTCAGTTAATACACAAAATTATTGACCTAGGATATGCCAAGGAACTGGATCAGGGCAGTCTTTGTACTTCCTTTGTGGGGACCCTGCAGTACCTGGTAAGAAATGGGATTTATGTGTTTGCTTATCAGTTTCTCTGGTGGCATGTTTGTGGGGCTCCATTCTACCTTATTTTCCCACATCTTGTCGGCTCCTTGGATGTTTCTTAAGTACATAGGAATTGTCACGTGAGCTCATTGTAGAACCATAATCCACTCGAGTCAGCATTCTCTGCCAACAGATGCCCTCTGTCTTCTCTGATGTTGTATGGGCTGTGCTAGTGCCCTTACACAGATCCTGCAGCCTGGCTGTGCCTCAGTATTTTAACTGGAAATACAGAGATTTAACTAGACTCACACTGGTGTAGAGGCTACTGCTTTTATAAGGCTGAGCTTCTCCCTTCCCTCCCTTTATATCGCCTGAGGACCAGGCCTCTTTATGAGTTTCTCATTTATTCCGGAATATGGACTGAGTGTAGTCTGTGTGCCAAGTGCTGGTGAGGCACTGGCAAAGAAAATAAGCATTTCCCAGCTTTGCAGGATCTTAGAGCTTGACTAGAAAACAGGCATTGCCATGATATCCACAAAACTCAGAAAAATCACAGGGCACTCTAGAACTCTGTGTTGGAAGACCTAGCATTACCCACACCCTGCAGGATCAGGAGATGGAAGGGCTGGAGAGTAGAGCAGTTAGTGGTGCTAGAAGAAGAGGGGGTTCTGGGCAGAAGGATGGTGCATGGGAAGATTTGAGTGTGGCCGGGACCTAGAGGAAGGAAAAGAGGGTCTGGAGTTGAAGCTGGGGAGGGAGGCAAGGACGGATTAAGGGTCTTGTAGCTGGATTAAAGCTTTTAGGCTGTATCTTCAAACTTCTGGAGTGACATTGAAGGGCTTTATGTTGGAGAAGGCCCAGGCTGTGAAAAGACCACTCCAGGAAGTATCATGTGAATAGTGAACTTCATGGCACAGGAGTGAGCAGCGGGTGTGCAGGAGGAGGAGGTTGCTGGTGACCCGTGCAGACTGCGGATGACCATGCAAGTGCAGTGATCAGGTACTTAGCAGAGCACACACAAGACTCCACCATAGGCTGCTTGCTGCTGACAGTAGCCAGGCACATTGTGATTGAAAGTAGGGTCTGCAGTTGAAAACAAAGGAGGTTGAGAGCCATGGGCTAGATGGGCTTAGGCATGCCATCTGGCTCTTAAATAAGAAAGGGCATGGTGGCTCTTCGTCTGCAATTGTATTTCCTGCCCGTCCTACCAGCGAGGGGAGTGGGCACCTCCTCTGAGGAATGAAGGCATTCTGGTGTCCAGGTGAGGTGTCACCACATATATCCTTCTGGGCCCCCGGCATCCCAGCAGCTCAGCAGCAGCTGGCTGAAAGTAGCCTCACACTCTGACCAGGATGCTGAGTCAAGTTTTCAAACATCCATCCCTAGCCACACCTCACCAGTGTCTGACCATCCCCACACTTCTCCAGGTTTGGACTCTGTAGCCCTTTTGTAAATGTCAGATTTCCACACCAGCCATCCCAGTCCCATCTCTGTGATGGCCCTCTCTGAAATGTGTCCTCCTGAGCCTGGTCTCCGTCTCACCTGGGCCTTGTCACCATCCTGGGTCACCCCAGGTCCCTCAGCCTTGACAACAAGTTATGCATTTTGCTTTTTTCCTGCCTGATTGTAAATACCTGTGGCATGGATCTATTTAATGCAGCTTAGTAGCATTTTCCCGTGCTGTACTAACCTGTCTTCCCATCTCTACATGGCACCCAGGACTGGGCACTACATTGAGTTAGTTTTCAATACATACCTGAAATGCTGCAGTCCTTCAGCTCGCACACACACTTGTGTGTGTGTACTTGCTCACATGCACACTGGGGATGAAACCCAGGGCCTCATACATGCTAGCCAAGTGCTCTCCCACTGAGCCACGTCCCTAGCCTCTAACCATCATTTTTAAAGGGGACAAACTGAAGCACAGGAAGTCTGTACTGTGTGCTCCTCTACTCTAAAGGGACCCCTGGGGCCCTGACTTATGCTGTCTGCCAGAACTGAGTGAGAATGTGAGGTGTGCAGGAAGCCTTAGGTCACATCAGCTGAACTGACTGGTCACTTCTACCTGAGTGGACACGCTGTGCCAGGATGGAGCCTGGAAAGTGTGGGGCATGGTGAGATGACTACTGCCCTTCCTGACACGACATGTCTCTGCCTTGTGTGGCTGCAGGCCCCTGAGCTGCTGGAGCAGCAGAAGTACACAGTGACTGTGGACTACTGGAGCTTTGGCACCCTAGCCTTCGAGTGCATTACTGGCTTCCGGCCTTTTCTCCCCAACTGGCAGCCAGTGCAATGGTGAGTGAGTGTGGCCTGGTCCTGGGGGCTGCCCGAGGGAGAGGCCCAGCTCTGCTCATCCTTGTATTCCTCCTGGCTCATCCTGTGCCCAAGGCTGCTGAGCTGGTTGTGTTGGGAGGTCCCAGTGGGACCCACATGTGAGCTCCACAAACCCAGGAGAACAGAGCAGTTGTTAAGTAACATCTTTAAATATGTACCAGACCAATATCATCTGCACTGCGTTCAGTAACAAGTTAGGACCTTGTTACTTCCAGCACTTAAACTGGAAATGCTGTGTATTAGTAAACAGAAGTAAAGATGACGTGTGCAGGCAGACCTGGACAAGCTGTTTATGTGAAAACTTAACAATGACCAGTTTGCTACACTTGGATATAAATGTTTTAAAAGCATAAGAAAGTGGCTTAAAATGTGAACCTAAAAAATTATAAAAAGCTGTTTTCTAATTTAAAAATCAACAGATACAATTAAGGTTTTTAAAACCACTTTCTTAACTTTTTTTTTGAGATGAGGTGTCCCTAATTTGCTCCTCTGGCTTCAAACTCACAATCCTCCTGCCTTAGCCTTTCAAGTAGCTGGAATTACAGGCATGCACCACTACACCTGCCTTTTATTTACTAATTATAAAAATAGTGTATTGTTTATAAATATGTTAATCATCACAAAAAATTATAAGTACATGAGGTAATGCATATGTTACTTCATTCTACAATGAGTAGAAAACATGTATACAAATATGTGCAAAGTACGGTGTTGTACATGATAAATACACATGGTTTTTATCAGTTAAAGTACTGGGGGGAAAAGAAAAGAAAAGAAAGTTGACTCTTGCTGAAATGGATAACTTGAAAGCTAACATTCTCTCAAATCAGTTAAATTTCAGTCAAGATTTTTCCTTAAGAAGCCACACTAATTTAAATGAGGCTGATGTTGCTCAAAATTTTTTGGAGCAGTAGTAAGTTTGCATGGTTTACACTTTAGAAGTAGAAAAAAATACGTAGTAAGAAGGAATCTCCTACCAGTCTCCCAACCCTGTGGCCTATTCCCCTTGGGGACTTGACACCCTGGTTTGTGTGACATTTTATACCCATTCAATCAAGTTGCCATATATTTTTCATTTATGGGCTCTCCCTTTTTTTACACCAGTGGTAGCATGGTATGAACATTGTCACGCAGATGTCTTTACAACTTTTTTTTTTTGGTACTGGGGATTGAACTCAGGTCTTCGCGCTTGCGCAGCAGGTGGCAAAACCACTGAGCTAAATCCCCAGCCCTCTTTACAACTTTTTTACAGTGAGAATTTTCTTCAGAGCCAGTTTATAACGCCAAAAAAAAAAAAAACAAAAAACCTTGTCTTGAGCCTAAAAGTATGTGTATTTTATCCTTTTTTAAAAAAAATGTTATTATTTACATTCTGCTATAACCTGCTTTTCAAAGTAGTACTGAACGTTTCTATGTTTTCCATGTCATTTGGAATGTCTGTTAGTAATTCCACTGACTGGCTTGTACCTATGTCCTGTGGCTGGAAGCTTGAGTGGTTTAAACCTTTGGTTTTGAAAAACAAACAGTACTAAGAATAACATCCTGGTAGGGAAATCCTTGCACACCCACAGTTATTTTTCTAGGACAAATTCCTAGGAATGGAATTGGCAGATGAAAGAATATGCATGCTGCAAAGGCTTTGATGTTCATACACTGCCCACCAAAAGCTGGCATAAATATGCTTCTCCCTTTCACCCCACATTGCCCACACTGGCTGTTCTTTCTAAATACCTTTCTGGAAGTGGTAAAAGCATTAACTTTTCAAAGGACAAGTATTTATAGCATGAGAATGTTTATCCAAAAGAATAAAGTGTGAGTGACCTGGGAAATCAGTTCTAGGAGAGTGATTCCCCTATGTGCCTAGACCTGGGGAATGGGAAGGGGCGCCCTGTGAGGCAGAGTGCGCCTCCCTGTGGTGATCACCACAGAGCAGGCACCTGCTTCAGGTGCAGAGATTCTGAACGTAGGGAATTAGGTAATTCATTAATGGTCACACTATTGTAACCATCATAAAAAATAGTTCTGAATTATTTGTACATCGGTAGCGGTTTTAATTAACCAAGGGATTACTGCATTTGTTTAGTACAAATATTAATCTTTTCCATGATTTCTAACAAGATGAGTTAAAATCCGTTAGAACTGCAAGAGCAAATGCTGCTTGGAAATAGTTCGCTAGTGGTTGAGCATCTTCATAGTAAGTCTGCTGTCTGCAGAATCTTCTTTCTAGAACTTCCCTCAGAGGCATGGAAAGCTAGGAGTGCAAGTGGGCTTCTCCAAAACCCAGGAAGAAGCAGTTCTGTGGACTAGTTCATGAGAAGAGCCTCTATCATTGGCTTTTTAATGCTTTAGACAATTTTTTAAAACAATTTCCCTCCCCATCTAAGGAAGCAGGTAGATAGTAATTTCAGGGCAGATGCAACTTGGATTTTATAATTCTATTGCAAACCTACTTTGAAATCCATTTCAGGACTAGCCTAAGCAGCATGTGTTTTATTTTGTATGCCCTTTTATAATTACACACTGCCAGACTAACTTTTCTGTAGCAGAATTGTCCGCTTTAATTAGAAAGCCTTGGGCCCAACTTCCCCATCACAGTTTCCCCTGGAGTTGTACACAGCGGCCTCTGCTGGATGTGGCTCTTCTAGGTCTCTTGTGCGATCGCCATAGACCAGGTCCCCACTTGCCAGTGACTCTTGGTCACTACTGAGAACACTTTTTATTTGAATTTCCCAACTCTTTTGTTGGGAAAAATTTATTTGGACATTAGACAAAAGAGAGAGGTGCTGCGGGCCAAGCCTGAAGATGGTCCTTCGCCTCATCTCTACTTCCTTTCTCCACAGACTAGATTGTAGACCCTGGATGGCACAGCCCCAGCAGACATTACATTATGTATTCTTCCTTGTTGCCTTTCTCTGCATGCCTCGATCATGAGACAGTCATGCTGTGTTCAGCCTAGGCCACATAGCACTATTTACCCTGCCTTCTCTCCTGTTTGTCTTACATTAAACAAAGAGTGCATTGGACTCTAGGCAGCCATTAGCTCCCGACAGGCTATGGCTCCACCTGGTCCCAGCTTTCAAGCATACTCTTTGTGTTTTCATTTTTCTTCATCTCCCACCACTCTCACCTGCTTCAGACCCTATGCAGTGCAGGTTGAAGCAGAGAGGACACTGGATTTTGAATTTAAGTCCCCATTTTTACCACTTGGAGAGATGACCTCATCTTTATTCCCTCACCACTAAGTGGCAGACTACATGGGATTTCATAGTGACTAAAAGAACCAAGCATATAGTTATCTGTGAGGCATTATCCACATTTACATTATTGTCCTTGTTATCAGGAAGGCTGGAAGCCAGTTGGGTTTAAAATTTTTTCCCTTCAAATTCTTTTTTTTCCCCTTCAAATTTTACTTCAGATATATCAAGAAGTCCCTAAGTTGGGAAAAGTAAAAGTTCATTTATCCTTAAAAAAAAGATACTTAGCTGTGTATACTCAGAGGGGAGTTTGTATTGCGTGTGTGTCATACCTATTTCATATGAATATGTCATGCATGTATAATCCTGGTTTGGAATCCCTAATTCTACCCTCTGTCAAAATATGAGCACTTGTATAGAGGAAACGGAAATTAGGGAAAAGGAAAAGCCAAGGATGATGCAGGGGTCAGCAGTACTGTCTACAGAACTCAGGGCATAAAACGGTCAATGGATCTGCTAGGCTGTCCTTCAAACACACACTCAGATGTACTGAGCCTTTGTGTTGTTATTGTTTTGGTGAGTCTGACATAGCCTCCATCACTGAGCTATACCCCTAGCTCCAGTACCCACCATTCTTAAACTCTTAGAAAACCAAGTGTCTCAGTTACTTTCTCACCAGTGAGATTCAATATCTGACACCTACAACTTAAAGGAGAAAAGATTGTGGCTCACAGTTTATAGAGGTTCCAGTCCATAGTTGACTGGCTCCAAGGAAGGTGACATGGCAGAGGGCCACTGCAGAGGGGCAGAGCAGGCAGGAAGCAGAGAGAAGGATCAAGGGAGGCAGGAGGAAGATAGACCTTTTCATGCTACCCCCATCCCCAGTGCCCACTTCCCAAGTTACATTTAGCTGTAAATTCATCAGTGGACTAATTCACTGATGAGTATCATGCCTCATGACCCAGTTACCTCTCAGAAGGCCCACCTATGAGCATATGAGGCTATGGGGGGACATCTAGCTACACTCCGTAACACCAGGCTGTTGACCATTATTCCAGAAGGTTAAATATCCATTGGGAGCAGGGGGGTGGTGTCCTGAGTCTCCTGTAGAGTTGTGATGTCCTGTTACAAATGAAGTGGGCCTTGACCACTGAGTATGCATACTTAACAGATGGCTCATTTGCAGGCATTCAAAAGTCCGGCAGAAGAGTGAGGTAGACATTGTTGTTAGTGAAGACTTGAATGGAACAGTGAAGTTCTCAAGCTCTTTACCTTACCCCAACAATCTGAACAGGTAAAGCCCAGTGGTCTGACTCTTGTACATACTTGCCTTCCTTTTGCAGAAATGCAAATCTGAGGAGACATCTGATAACTTTTAAGACTGAGAATTTGCCATAATCCATCTCAAATTTAGATTCCCTTCCCTCATCTCCCCAGAAATCATCTTTTCACTTCTTTTCTTTTCTTTTTGTGGTGCTGGAGATGAGACCCAGTCCTGGCCTTTTAAGGACAGGAGTTATACTTTATTTGCACTCTTTGGCCTAATACTGTGTCATAGTCAACAAGTAAATCTTCAGTCTAGTCTTAGAGCCAGAATGTAAGCAGATAATTAACATATCAGAATTGGGTCACCTTACAAAGGATATTTTCAAGGCAGTCACACATAACTGCATTGCCTGGGTAATGAGGACCAGGAACATTTGAAGATGGGGAGAGGTTTTATGTGCAATGATGGAACTTTTGGGGAGGCTCTGAAAAGTTGTGTAGAACATGGGCAGATGACAAGGGTAGAGGAAGAAAACGCAAAGGGTAGAGGTTAGGACAAGCTGAGGCTTGCTAGGGAGGCGGTGAGTAGATGTTGAGGCCTCTGGGAAGGGCTTGATGCATCCAGGAGGCAGGCACAGGGCCAGGAGTTTGAAGTTTGTATGTGCGCCCACCAGATGCTCCTGAAGGTTGGATTAATCAGCCCAGCAGCCTGGGGCCTAGATCAGCAGGTCAGCCTTCTGGCAGCAGGGACTGGTTTCATGGAAGACAGTTTTTCCATGCACTGGTTTCAGAGTGGTTTCAGAATGATTGCAGTGCAGCATTTCCTGTGCACTTCATTATTACCCTAGAGTCTCATAAGGAGCTCACCACCTAGGTTGCTCACAGGTGCAGTTCACAATAGGAGTCAGCTCTCTGACCTGACAGGAGGAGGCGCTCAGGCAGTCATTCAAGGAATGGGAGCAGCTGTAAATGCAGATGGAGCTGTGCTTGCTGTCCTCCCAATCACCTGCTCTTTGGCCCTGTTTCTATCAAGCCATAGACTAGTACTGTCAGAGGCCCAGGCCTCAGAGCCCGGGTCTGGATTGTGTGTGTGAAGGGATTGCCTGGACGTTGGGGCAGCTAGGAAGTGCTCCCACCTGCCCTGCGCCACCCCTGGCTCAGTGCTGGGAGTGTAGCCAAGGCTATTCACCTTACATGCTGTGCAGTACTATGTGTACCACTGAGCTGCCTCCCAGCTCCACGGTGCACATTAAAGCCTTCTTGCATGTCATTGCTACACAGCCAGCAGAGGTTATTCTGCTGCTGGTCCATGCTTGGAATCCCTGTGGGGGAGAGCTGTTTTAGTAAAAGGCAAAAGATTTATACGATTTGAAGAGAAACCAGAGTATTGGGAGAGGTGTTTTAGAGGGAGGTTAGAAGAGAGGGATAAGTATCGAATAGTTAATTGGTTGGAAGCATTTCAGCTTTTTCTCTCAGATCTGTCCATTTTCATTTTCAATAATCACTTATGGCTGCCCTGGGTGTCTCAGACAAGACACACCCCAGGCCACACATTCAAATCCCTCTGTGATGTGCCTGAGCCTAGATGGAGGTGTCGCCTTCACTCTGCCCTCTTCCTAGTGTGCTGGCCAAGCGACTGGAGAAGTGGCTGCAGCTGATGCTCATGTGGCACCCCCGGCAGAGGGGCACAGACCCCCAGTATGGACCCAACGGCTGCTTCCGGGCCCTGGATGACATTTTAAACCTGAAGGTAAACATGCAGCCCAGGGAGCCCTAGGAACAGTGGGGCGAGGAGCAGGTTTATAGGACAAGCTCACCATGCCCAGGTCGCTGAGTGGGGAAGTAGAGGGTCCAGGGAGAGTCTGTCTACACGAGTAAAGGATGGGACCACTGAGTAATTAACACTTGGGGACAGGCCATTGCAGTGGACAAACAGGAATATTGAAGCCTGGCTGCTCACACCCTTTCCTTGAGCTAGGCCCTTCGGGGAGTAGTGGAGGATCTCGACAGATAGATGGTGTTGCTGTAAAGACAGTACTTCTAACATCTGCGTTGTGTTGCAGCTGGTTCATGTCTTGAACATGGTCACAGGCACCATTCACACCTATCCTGTAACGGAAGATGAGGGTCTGCAGAGGTTAAAGACCAGAATCCAGGAGGACACAGGAATACCAGAGAAGGACCAGGAGCTGCTGCAGGAGGCAGGTCTGGCCTTGATCCCGGACAAGCCTGCCACTCAGTGCATTTCTGATGGCAAGGTGAGCACTGGCTACTTGCAGGCTTCCCTGCTCTTCGCTGACTTTGTCTCCTAGGGAACAAACCACACAGTCTGATTGCTCCTTTACCATGGGAGCAGTGTGTTATCCCACAGCACAGGTGCCCGCCTGTTACTATGAGATGGAGTGTGGCATCTCCTGTGCACCCCAGACAGACATCACCCCATGCTTGGCTTGTTTCTTCCAGACCATGGAGAGTAGCTTTCATTTGTCATTTTGCAAAAGCAAAAGTCTTTTATGGTTACCCATGGATGGAGTGGTTAAGTCCCTGTGTTGTCTGCGGCAGTGCAGGGCGGAAGAGCTCCTAAGTCAGTGTAATGGATGGAGTTAACATAGCAGAAACAGTCACTGCATAGGGAACTGAGCTGCATGTGAGAGGCATTTAGAATAAAACAGAACGTGAAGCATTGTAAACAAGGTGTAGCTTCAGAAAATCAGCAGAAAAGAAATGGCAGTAAGGAAGTGTGTGTGGGGTCGGGAAGAAAAGCATTGTGCGTGTTCTGTACCTGTTGGCCTAAGATGATTATTTTAGGGAAGTGCTCTGAAGCCTCTTAGGATTAGTTGGAAAAGGGAGGGGTTGGATCCACACAACCTCATTCTGTCCTTGTCTCTTTGCAGCCAAATGAGGGCCGCACATTGGACATGGATCTTGTTTTCCTCTTCGACAACAGTAAAATCACCTATGAGACTCAGATCTCCCCACGACCGCAGCCCGAGAGTGTCAGTTGCATCCGTAAGAGCATCATTTCTTTAAAAATAATCAGTTCTGGGCCGGGGATTTAGCTCAGTGGTTTCGCCACCTGCTGTGCAAGCGCAAGGACCCGAGTTCGATCCCTGGTACCAAAAAAAATAATAATAATAATCAGTTGTGATGCTTGGGACAATGGGGGTGGGTAGGGGAGGGGCCTCCAGGGAAATCTGGGTGCCTAGTCCTCAGGGCACAGAAGGAGTGGCCCAGGCACACAGGAGGAAGGGAGTTTCTCAGTTTATGTCACCCTCAGAGCAGAGAATACTGTCTGCCTGCCTACTAGCCATTTGATTTATTTTTCAAGTTGCATATATATATATATATGTTTTTTGTTTTTTTTTTTTTGGTACCAGGGATCAAACTCGGGTCCTTCTGCTTGCGAGGCAGGCGGCGGAACCACTGAGCTAAATTCCTATTCCAGTTGCATTTATATTTTAATAATTAATGTATGTACATGATATTTTTAAAAACTCAAAAGATACATGAGAATGAATATACAGTGAGAAAGAAGCCAGTCTCTCCCCAGTTCCCCAGCTGGTGAGTTCCTCTCGCAGGAAGAGTGTTGCTGTGAGAATCTTAGGTGTCCTTCCAGTGCACTTTCCCCTTACACAGCTGGTGAAATTCAACATGTAAGGCTCTGTTTCTACTCTTTTGACTTAACGGTGTGTTTTCCAGATGTTTCTGCCATTGGTGCATATAGAACTGCCTTGTTTTAATGGACGATAGTGTTCCATTGCATGAATGTTCCATGAATATTTTAATGCCTCTGCCACTCCTGTGTCCCCAGCCCACCCATACCCACACACTCAGAATAAATAGATCTTAGAGATCTCCAGCTTTGTCTTCAGTACTGCTGACTGATGCCGCCTTTTTATAAAACTCAAATTAAATTCAAATGTCATGAACGTTGAGTTTATGTTGAAAATATATACAGGGAGCCAAGTGTGGTGGTACATACTTGTAATGCTAGCTCTCTAGGAGGCTGAGGCGGGAGGATCAGTTGCAAGTTCAAGCCCAGCCTGGGCAGTTAATCTTAGGAAGATCCATCTCAAAATTAAAAATAAAAATGGGCTGGGAATGTAGCTCAGGCAAAGGCCCTGAATTAAATCTTCAGTGCTGGGCAGGGCGGGGGAGGGGCAAGGCATAACACCTGACAAGTTGTGTGGTAGTGTAGTAGTTAACAGTTTTTTGAGGGCTGGTAAGTGACAAGGGAGGATGTGCCCTTTTGGAGGAGAGTCATTCTAACAGTTGCTTGTCTCCGTGCGCAGTTCAGGAGCCCAAGAGGAATCTCCCCTTCTTCCAGTTGAGGAAAGTGTGGGGCCAGGTGTGGCACAGCGTCCAGGCCCTGAAGGAGGACTGCAACCGGCTGCAGCAGGGACAGCGAGCTGCCATGTACTGTGCCCAATGTTCTTGGCGTGGTTCATTTAGGATTGCTTAGTGGCTTTGGCTCCTGGGAGGTAGCTGAGGCAGGGCCAGAGGCAACTGTTTTGAGAGACAAGAGGGAGACACTGGTTTGGACAGGCGTGAGGTGGGCGGATGGGCCAGCTGGAGGGAGGCCCCTTCTGCCTGCGAAGAGCCTGCGAGGTGAGTGTAGTTAGCACACAGAGCAGGAGTGCAGAACCGAGGGCTGGGTGGGCCAAGCTGTGGGCAGAATTTGGGCCTTGAAGAAGCTCATTGAAATTTGGGTTGGCAAAATTGCCCTGATTATTATTATGCAGGGGACTTGCTACTCTGTCTTCGGTTATGACAAGTTTAGATTATTGACCCTTTATGTAGTACTTTGCCTAATTCCAATTTTGGTGCAGAGCCTCATGAATCACTGAAGCCTGGGAAATTGTCCATACAGTAATAAATAGCTGCTTTGGTAATAGTAATGGTGGGTGTTATTATAGTGAAGACCTCCCTTGACATTTGATGAGGTTTTGTTATTGTAGGAAATGGTATTTGGATCCCAGAGTTCTCCAGGATCCCATTTCTTGTGGTCTCTGCAGGATGAATCTCCTACGGAATAATAGCTGCCTCTCCAAGATGAAGAATTCCATGGCCTCCATGTCTCAGCAGCTCAAGGCCAAGTTGGATTTCTTTAAAACCAGCATCCAAATTGACCTGGAAAAGTACAGTGAGCAGACTGAGTTTGGGATCAGTGCGTATTCCATAATGAGTTTAAGAGACCCTTTCTTTTTTTCTTTTTGAGATTTTTTTTTTCTCCTCTTATAATAGAGTTGCATATTCCTGTTTTGGTTTTGTGGTATTTTCATTTTGTTTTCATCTCCCCAATTTTTTTCCAGCATCAGATAAACTGCTGCTGGCCTGGAAGGAAATGGAACAGGCCGTGGAGCTGTGTGGGCGGGTAGGAAACTCAAATTCAGTCTGTGCTTGTGTGGGTGAGGCTTCGTTCTCTTTCCACTCTCTTGTCAACACTGCCTTGGTCTTCTGTGTCAGAATTCAAGTTTTCCTCACCATCCCCTTTGACTAGAACCAAACTTTCCGGAAACAAACAGAGCATACAGGAGCCCTCCTGTGGCAAGACTCTAGAGCGCTGTCCAGAGGGACAGAGATGTTCCACATTTAAGTAAGGAGCAAATAACCATGTGCCTGAGGAAGGGCCTAGAGCTCTTGCTCTGAGGAAGAGCATTGAATGATGATCAGCGCTCCCTCTTGTCAGAAGTGTTTGCTTAATTTTGTTGGATGTGAAATCCATAAGAAAAAAAACTGAGGCAAAAAGTCTCAGGACACGTAAATCACATGCCCCTGAAATAGTAATCATAAGCTAAGGGAAGTGAGCATGACTCCATGAACCTTGAAGAAAAACAAGACCCCAGGCTCTAAGACTTCCCAACTGCCTTCTCCTGTGCCCTTATGTCCTGGTTGGATGCACACATGCTCTGGGGGGACATCCTATAGATGGTTCCTTAGTTAACCGTAGCATGGGGGTGTGCTTCACCAGAACTTGGCTCTCACATCATTGAAATAAAGGGGTACAGGCCTCCCAACATGGGTTAGCATTGGGATGGACAAATTAAGAGGGGACAGAGTAATGTGCGTTTGGCATCTTTTCTGTGCCAGATATTTATTTAATCCTTTGGCCCAATTAGAAGCCTATCTCATTGAAGCAGGAAGTGCAGCTCACATGTTAAGTAACTGCCCAAAGGCCCCCCGATTAGAAAGTGGTAGATGCAGGATACAAACTCAACTCTTTCTGATGCTAGAGTTCATATTACTTCTGGCCAGTCAATTGAGAATACCCCGAAGTTAGGAGGGTTTTCTCCTGCTGCCCCTGGTGAATCTTGCATCTTGATGGTCTTCTCACATCAGTTGACATTAGCACAGCCTTTTCATTAGGAGAATGAAGTGAAATACCTGGTGGAGCGGATGATGGCCCTGCAGACCGACATTGTGGACTTGCAGAGGAGCCCAATGGGTCGCAAGCAGGGTGGCACACTGGACGACCTGTGAGTATACCCAGCAGAGATCTGTGTGTGTGTGTTGGCATAGTCCCAGGAGGCGGTGGGACCATCCTCCTGTAGAGCCCATTCCCTGGTCAGTCGTCTGTGCATGTTTCAGAGGTGAGCCAGGGCAAATCACTGTCACTCTGAGCCTTAGTTTTTTGGGGTTTTTTTGGTACCGGGGATCGAACTCAGGTCCTTGTGCTTGCGCAGCAGGCGGCAAAACCACTGAGCTAAATCCCCGGCCCGTGAACCTTAGTTTTCAAAGCTGTTAAGTGACAAAGAAACCCCACTGACCTCACAGAGTTTAAGGATCCATTCACATAATGGATTTGAGAAGCAGTTTATAAAGGCTATAAAATGCAAGTGCCCTTTACCATCCTTGTTGACATCCCTGCTCAGCCTACCTACCCCAATCCAGATTTTGAGGCTCAAAGAGCAGAACTGTTACAGTGAAGGGGAAGCCTGGCAAACCTAGTAGTTTGGACATGGACACTGCTCATTTGAGACTTTTTCAGGTATCTGGCATTGGCTCCATGAGGAGATGTGGCATCAGGCAGACCCACACTGGCTGGAGGAAGTAACTTGTAGCCCCTGGTGTGTGGATAGGCCGAATCAGCTTATTGAGGGCTCTGTCAATTTGAACTCAGCAGTGTTTCCTGATGCCAGGGTTCTTAGGATGATAAATCTGAACAGAAATTTAATTATTTGTTTTATATGTCTTCTAATTCTTTAGCTCTTATTTCCCTAGTTTTCAAATCAGTCATGGAGGATGTTGCCAGTCTCACACGTGTTAGGGGAAAGGCATAGAAGTTTGTACCCCTCTACAGGCGCAGGTTCTCAGGGTGGGCATGTTTTACTGCTCAGGCCCAGGCAGGGTACCTGGAGTTGTATCGTAGAAGCCATTGGAATAGGAATTCAGGATGGCATGGATATTCCTTCCTCATTAAACCTTGAGAGTATTTGAGTTTTGATAATGAGGGCTGTCACTTGGAGTCAGTCTTGATACCAGACCCAGGCTGGCTGCTCACCGCACAGCGTGACAGTAAGTTGAGAGATGAGGTTTTGAGGCAAGAAAGCACCTCCTGGCTGGCCAGGAAGATGGAGAATTCTTGTCCCAGTCCATCATTCAGGAAGCTGACTTAGTGGTGGTTTATATGGGCAGTGGTAGGTGTTGCCAGACTGTTGGGCTCTTGCTTACAGAGAGGGGGCCAGAGGATGCAACTCTGATCTGAATTGTGGGTCACAAGATCGAGAACAAAGGTCCTTATTTTCTTGGTCTGTCCTCCTCTCTGATTAGTGTGCCCATGTACAGTTCCTGGCATATTACACAATGGACAGGGCAGAGGGGCACTGTCCCACTACCCTTATGCTGATCACCAAACTCAAGTAATGAGACATTATTGGCCTGATTGTTGTGGGAGACAAGGTTAAATTAGATTAAATAGATATGCAGTTACAACATCTGGTTTCATTGCTCGGTTTAAGTCTTTTGTCTGGAATTCAGTAATTGTGCTGGCAAGAAGTGACAGTGTTGGGTGGGTGTGGTGGTGCATGCCTATAATCCCAGCACTGGGAAGGCTGAGGGAGGAAGATGACTGTAAGTTCGAGGCCAGCCTGGGCTACATAGGGAGTTCATGGCCAGACTGAACTACATAGTGAGACCCTATCTCAAAAAAAAAAGAATTAGTGCTGTATATTTGCCTATTTGGCCTTGAATCTCCACAAAGCTGCTTGTTTTTCAGAGAGGAGCAAGCGAGGGAGCTCTACAGGAGACTGAGGGAAAAGCCAAGAGGTAGGTGGTCTAGGTTGTCTTTACCACCTTCCCATCTCATTTCTGAAGCACTGGTCCTCCTGCCAGCCTCCCGAAGCAACTGTGCCACTCTCCCCCAGACCAGCGAACAGATGGTGACAGTCAGGAAATGGTGCGGTTGCTACTTCAGGCCATTCAAGGTTTCGAGAAGAAAGTGCGAGTGATTTACACACAGCTGAGGTACGAAGGCCCTTTTCCGCTTGAGGGAAAGAGGTAGAGCAGCAGTTCAGCTACAGGAAGGCCTTTGCTGGCTCTTGCTCTGCTTGGAGCCATAAGTTTCAGGGAACCTGTTGTATCTCTTCAACAGATCCCAAGCTTCTGGGGATGGTGCCATGCGTGCTGCAGCCCAAACTCACGGGAGTGCATCCTGTTTGTTCTTGACAGTAAAACTGTGGTTTGCAAGCAGAAGGCGCTGGAATTGCTGCCGAAGGTGGAAGAGGTGGTGAGTCTGATGAACGAGGATGAGAAGACCGTCGTCCGGCTCCAGGAGAAGCGGCAGAAGGAGCTCTGGAACCTCCTGAAGATCGCGTGTGTGAGTGACAGTGCCCACTGTTAACCCAGGTCCCACCTGTGGCCCACAGGGCCACCCCAGGGCCCTTGGCAGCTGCTGTTCACAGTCACTCCCTGTGGTGTGGAGCGAGGGTTAGGTGAGAGGTTAGAGGAAGGGCTGCACCTGTTTTTATTATTCATGTGACAGCTGTCATAGTCATAGCCAAATGGCTTCAGCAACAGAGATTATTCTCTCAGAGGTCCTGAGGCCAGAAGTCTGAAATCCAGGTGTCAGCAAGATGGTGCCCCTCTGACTCTGGGGAGAATCCACCCTGGCCTCTTCTGGGTTTTGGGGCACCAGCCTTTCCTTGGCTTCTGGCTGTACTACTGTGATCTGTTTTTGTCTTCCTATGAACTCTCTGTGTCCCTCTGGACACTGTCACCAGACTTGGATCACACTTGAATAGCTCAGGATGATCTCTCAGGATCCTTCACCCAGTTACCTCTGCAAAGACCCTTTTCCTAAATAAGGTCAAGCCTCAGGTCAGGGCAAAGGCCATAGCTGTTTTAGGGCCAATCCTCCCACAGTGTGTGCTGCTCTAGCAGTGTAGCCTGCACCTGCCACACATCTGCCTTAGTGCACCTGTGACCACCCTGACAGTCCCCAGGAGGACATAGAAAGCCAGACAGGCAGAGGAAGGGGCAATAGAAGCTAGAGCTGCTGGAAGGTAGCCCTATTACAAGGGGCTGCAGAGAGGAGGGAAGAGAGCAGTTCTGTTAGCAGAAGCTTCAAGGGCAGAGGGAAGGAAGCTGGGCAGAGGGAAGGAAGTTGGGCAGAGGGCTACTTGTTCAAATTGGCCTGAAGACTGACCCTGTTGGAGAGGGGACAGTTGATGCCCATGGTCCCGACCAGGAGCATGGGTAGTGGATTTGCGTTGGGTAGTGGTATTTCCTCCTATAGGAAGAAAACAGGAGCCACGATGAGGTCTAGAAATTAGAAGTGGAGGTGCATGCAGAGGAGGAGGCTCTACCTCCTGGGGCGCTACCTGTCTCAGAGCTGGTGGGACACAGACAGCATCCATAGCAGAAAGTACTGTAAAGCTGTGTCCACGTGAGCAGTGGAGGCAGGGGAGGGAAGAAGAAAAGTTTCTGAAGGAAGAGTAGGAGTTAGGTGGCAGGATGGCTGGCTGGAAGGACATTCCAGAACAATGACCTTGCTTTATCAAAGGCTTGGAGGCCTGGACAAGCCTGATGTCTTCTGGGTGGTAAGAGTGGCTTGGAATGATCACCGAGGATGAAATGAGAGGGGTCAGAGGTGGCTTAAGAAACACCATCTGGTGAAACTAGGGAGGGTTTCGGATCAAAGGAGCTTATGGGATGCTGCGATCCCATTCGTGTGAGAGATGTCACCTGTGTCAGCTAAAACTGGATTGAGTGAGGGCTACACAGTGGGGGTGCTGGAGTTGCGCGCTCCTGGGTGCACAGAAATTTGGAAAGCAGCTGACCCCAGCTGTTTGGGAACCAGTTAGCACAGGTACGGCCTGGGTCAGAAGTGGAGGAGTGGATGGCTGCATGGCTGTTGTTAAGTGGGGAGGCACAGCAGGTGGAGGGAGGAACAAGCTGGAGTTGATACACTGGAAAGACTGGTTTAGCTGGAGAGGAGGAGATAAGCCCGGTGAGCCCCCAGCTCACGGGCCACAGGCTGGGCTGCACTGAGGGCAAGGACCAGGGACAAGGAGGAATTTATGAGGCAGGCAGGTAACAACTGGCCAGAGGATCAGCAGGGGAGGTGGCTTGAGGTGCTGAGAAATTGGCAGTAGGCCACATTTATGGGCTGAAAGTATGAGGAGGTGCCAGAGTGGGAGCCCAGTAGCTGGAGTGGCCACAGCACCCCCAGAGCTGGAGTATCTCAATTTCTCTTTGCTGTACCAGAGTGGGTGTGAGTCATGTCTCCTCGCCTTTTTGTGTAGCTCAGTCTTCTGCTTGGAAAAGGCTAGAAATTGCTCACCTTGCTTTCTGTGTAAAAGTTTACTAAGGAATCACATGAATGAAATAAAGTCTAGCAGTACAGGTACCCATGCCTCCCAGCATTTAGAATCCTTCCCCAGAAAGCACACCTGTTGCCACAGAAACTCTTTGAGGCTGAATACAAAGTCCCACCGGTTATCACAGACAGATAGGGGCTGGTAGTTGTTTTTTTTTGTACCAGGGATCAAACTCACGACCTTGTGCTTGCGAGGCAGGTGGTGGCATCACTGAGCTAAATTCCCAGCCCTGGGCTGGTAGTTTTGAAGAATATCTGTGGTGTCTTATAGCAGAAATACTCTGGTCTGAGTTTAAAATTCGTTCCATCACTTGGCTTTAAAATTTTGTGGGCTGACTTTCTGGTTTTATGCTTCAGAGCAAGGTCCGTGGTCCTGTCAGCGGAAGCCCAGACAGCATGAACACATCTCGACTTAGTCACTCTGGTCAGCTGATGTCCCAGCCTTCCACTGCCTCTGACAGCTTACCTGAGCCAGCCAAGAAAAGGTAAGCTATAGTTAGCAGTGCATGTTCCAGGGCACATCAGGAGATGCTGGGGCCAGCAGTGTTTGTCGTCATTGATAAACGCTTGTCTGATGATTTTGTGCCTGCTTCTCTATGTTACATATGTGCTATCATTTCTTGGCCTTATAGCTAAGATCAAGCGTAGTGTATGCTAGGCCCTATGGGCACAGAAGTGTTCTAAAACTAGAAACTGAAATGATTGCATACCTTGTACATAGCCTAAGGCCGTATATTTGGCTCCTATGGTCCCTTGTAACTTGCTAACTAAATAGTTTCTTTGTCCAAGGGTTGGGTTACTAATTGCTTAGTGAGGATACTGAAAGTGCTGTCGTTCTCTGTGCTGCAAAACTAATAGCCCTTCAGAATGTGTCCCCTTCTTGAGCCCGAGTCCTCTGGCCTCTGACCTCCTGCCCACCTCCATTTTGAGTTACCAAGCTACATTTTCCTCCCTGGTGCCTTTCATTATCCATTCATCCTTCCACTGCCCACTCTTGCCTGGGCCACTGGCAGAGCAGTGAACAGAACATTCTGGACGCTTCCTGGCTGGGCTTTCTGCCTCCCACGTGTCTGTTCTGCCGCCAAGCCCTAGGTCCTCACAAGATGCCATTCTGACCTAGTGTTACCTGTTCAATGATTAGCGATGGCTTTCCACTCCATTCTAGACTGAGTCTAAGCTTTTCTAGGCATTTGCAGCCACCTCAGTGTGGCCCTGCATATAACCAGGGCTCACACCTCTCTCATTGGCTGGCACCAGGCCTCTAACCTAATAGCAGGTGAGGCTGAGAAAAACATGCTGTAGAGGCCTAGTGCATAGCTCCATGGTGGAACACTTGCCTAGTGTGTGCGAGGCCCTGGGTTCTATGGCCAGCACTGAAAAAAAAAAAAAAACAGCCTTCCCATGTAGAATGTCACATTTTATAGTGACGTGAGTTAAAAGGCACCGACACCCTGTCCTGGGCGTTTTTCCTCCAGTGTTATTCTCAAAGCTCAGAAAAGCCATCCTGGAGCACAGGGCTCTGGTGTCTTTCCATGTCACAGAGCTGAGCTCAGAAAAGGAAGAATAGTTTATTAGATTGTCCTTGTCCCATGGTGGCCCATTCATGATAGGAGACATGTAATTCTTATTATAGAGAAGAGATAGCAGACTGGATTAAATAAGTTCCCAGAACTTTGCCTTTCACATTGGAAAGAACTATGGAAACCTGGTGTATTGCTTGGTCCATTTTCTTTTTCCTGTCTGTTTCAAAAATTGGAAAACAGGTGACTTGGGAAAAAGCTTTAGATTTTTTGGAAGTTTGGAGAGAATCTACTAAGTAAAAAAGAGCTCTTTTGCTTTTTATTCTTAGAGATTTATTACTTTTCTTATTTTGAACAATAATGCTCATGACTGGATTTGGGCTTCTAAGAAGTACTTAACCAGATGAATGACATCACTAGTCACTGATGTGGTGTTTAGGCATTCAGGGCCAGATTAATTGCTACTTTGTTTTAAAAATAATTTCAAAAGCTCTATGGCTTATTTTAAAGCATAGTAATATCTGCAGTGGGTGTGAATGACCACTCAATTGTTGCCCGCAGTGAAGAGCTCGTGGCTGAAGCACACTCCCTCTGCTTCCAGCTGGAAAGTGCCATGCAGGACACGGTGAAGGAGCAGGACAGAAGCCTCATGGTAACTCCCAGGGAATCCCAGCCCTCCTGGGCTCTTTCTTCTGCTGCAAAACAGAAAGAAAACAAAAAGCCAACCAGTGTTAGCCTTAGTCTCTATAGCCTCGGTATATACTTAGGACTTTCTGGTATGTTTTAAATTATGAATAGTAATTATGGCTATTAATTATTGCATGCTATAAGCACATTATGTGTATTATTTTATTTAATTAATCTTTATGAAATTTTAAACCTGGCAAGGAGGCAGCATTACTCCCGTTGTGGCCCCCTGCACCGTGGGTACCACTGCTGCCCATCAGTGTGTGCTGGGTGCTCTGCTGGGCTCCAGCAACAGGAACCTGTCATGGCTCTGCAGCTCAGAGGTGTGGTGCCCAGCAGTGCTCAGTGTTAAACAGAAAGGTACATTAAGGCAAAGTTTAAATTGCTGAGAGGACCCTAAATGGTTCCCTTGACCTTGAGTAAACTGGTCATCTTCTCTATAGTGTGTGGGCTCTCTGTCTCTTGCAGCTCTTCCCCTCCTACTATATTGATCATTTCACTGCTTACTCACATTTTTGCCAGAGGAACAAAAAGTCTTCCATACCCATTTCCTCTGTAAGGCTGGAAATCAGTGGCCGAGCTTAGCTCTCCTGCCTTCAGCAGGACTAAAGTTACCTTCCAGTTTGCACAGTCACAGGACTTCAGTCCACAGGGAACAGCCCACACAGTTCTGCACATGGAGCTCAGCTCAAGGGTGCACTGCAGTGTCAGGCCCACTGTTGATGAATGGTTTAGCCACACTTTCACATTGTGCTGCTTGCCTTCAGGAGAGGAGAGATGAGCTGAGGTTTACAGTGGCCACTGAACATTTAACATGCCTGTCCTTTCAGGCTCTGGACTGGAGTTGGTTACACACAGAAGACGAGGAACAGAGTGGCCTGGAGCCAGCCTCGTGACTGGAGTTCCACACTTGGCCTATGGCCCTCCCACGGTGGCTCCTGCTGCAGTGATGTCCTGGCGCTCTCCAGCACCTGGTTGGAGGTCTCACTTCCCTGCAGCTGCTGTGACATTCACCCTGGCCCAGAGCATGGCCCTCTGCAGGCAGTGCTGGCACTGTGTGTGCAAACTAGAAGGCCTCCATCAGGGCCCAGTGTGTGTCAGTGCCAATCATGAGTGATGGGGAAACAGAGCCTCCACAGCTGCTTCCTCTGCTCTGCATGTGGTTTATCACATGGACTGCCAGACAGAAGTCTGCCTTGAATGTTTCAGGACAGAGCTGAGATGGCATCTGGTGCCAGCCTGTCCTCTCCTGTCCCCTTCTTTCCTCCAGAGAGGCCCTGACTTGTCTGCCTCACTCATCTTAGAGCTAGGGTTTCATCTGGATTAAGCTTCTATTCAACAGATGTTTTTAATCATAGATTTGGCGTGGCCACATCCTCTCTTCTCTTTCACTTCACTGCTGCTAAAGTTTTATTTTTACCTACCGTGTTGGTGGTCATCCTCTTTTGGCAGGGTTGTAGAGTGATGCCAAGCTCCCTACTGCATGCATTCAGCTAGACTGACTTACTAGAGCCAGCCATGGGTCACCTGGGAGTCAGTTGTCACACAGAAGAAGGGAAGAAGCAAAGAGTGCCTGTTGGCCAGCAGCCCGTGCCCCTGCCCACCTGTGCCTGAGTGCCTGGGTGGGATGGGGTGTTCCTGCCTTTCACATCACCCAGCAGTACTGTTAAATTGCCTGTTTTTACAAATAGTTTCTATATATTTTTAACAGGACTCAAGTGTTACTTACATGGGATTCCACAGTCCACTTTTATAACACCTGTGGTTAGGGCTTCTGAACTCAAAATTCAACGAAATGTGAAATTTTGTAAAATTGAGTAGTGCCTGGATTGTAACAGTACAGTAGCACTGCTTCTTCTGTATTTCACAAAACTTTTAAAAACATGGACAGAGCAGGAGAACAAAACTAGTGCTGGTGATCAGAGACAGATAACATATGCTTGGAGAAGAAAGTTGGAGTAGAGAGGTTTCACGAAGTGGCTTTCATGTAGATTGTATGAAGCAGCTGGTGAAGTAAGTTTAGGAAATGCTTCCTGCTTTCATTGCTTTTTGGAGAGTCACAGTGAACACTTATCTGAAGAGGCTTATAATAAAAAACTGGCTTAATTTATATAAATCCATTGTTTTCCTATATCATTGTACCACAGAACTCTGCTGCCCCTTTGTTAACGTTCCAAAGGATCTAGAGCCTGAGAAAGCACGACTTGGGATCCTAGGTAAAGGACATGTAGGAAGTAAGGCTAGGGGCAGACTAGGGAAGCAGTGAGTGCTGGCTAAGTTGGGGCTGTGGATGTGGTATTGGCAACGAAGTTATTCGGTTTCTAGCAAGAAAATGACATAACCAAAGCCGTGATTTAAAAAGTTTATTGCTGGACCATTCTGATTAACTGAAAAAGTGGAAACTCAGGAGTTAGGACTTCTTCCTTCCAAACAGATGAAATAGATGTGCTTTTAAATGCTTGGACATTGTATATAAGCAAATATAGTATAAGACTGAAAGGCAGAGAGGAGGTGACTGTCCTGGGACCTTGGGAGCTGAGCAGTGATATGGGCAGTGAGTTTCTGCATTTGTTTTTGTTTTACATAGCCCAGGTTGAATGCTAGAGGAGCCAACTGATGAACGGCCACAGACAAGAGCCAGAAGAAAGCCTGCTCTGTCTGGCTGGTGTGAGTTTCCCCAGCTTAAGACAAGAGTTTATTCTCTCAGCTCTGAAGGCCAGAAACCTGACACCAAGACATCAGCTGGAGGCCAGGAATGTAGCTCAGTGGTGCCCCCCTGCCTGGCAAGTGCGAGGTCCTGAGTAGGATTCCCAGTTAAAAAAAAAAAAAAGACATCATCTGGACCAGGTTCTCTGAGGCTCCAGGGGAGACGCTGTTCCTTGCCTCTGCCCATCTCTAGAGTGCCAGAGTAGCTGACCTCACAGGGTGCACCACAACACCCATCTGTAATAGTTTTCTTGAGGAAATTAGGAGTACTGTTATTTTTTCCCAATTATGGTTAATCAGACTAGCCATAGATTTCAAAATACAGTGTGTTCTTTGGGGCCAGGGATTTGCTCAGTGGTTTCGCTGCCTGCTGAGCAAGCGCAAGGATCTGAGTTTGATCCCCGGTACCAAAAAAAAAACATACAGTGTGTTCTAGATTGTCTCAAGTCCATGCTGATTTTTAATGCACAAGAATTAGATACAAAGCCAGGTATGGTGGCACATATCCATAATCCCAGCACTCAGGCTGAGGCAGCACAGTTGTGAATTTGTGGCCAGCCTGGGCTGCATATCAAGACCTGGTCTCAAAATAAGAAAAAAGGAAAAAGGTATGAACTCTTAAGTTGGAACCCTCAGCAAAATAGAGTATTTATTGTTCAGTATTTCTGTGGAAACATTTCATTGTATTACAGAAATTGTGGGCTTTAGTAAAAAGAAAAAAGTTAAACTTTTTAAAAAAATAGTGTTTCTTACAACCAGTGGATTTTAGGTTGGTAATAGTCTTCTATAAACAATTCTAATGAGACAAGTGCTCTTACCATTATCATAACTTCTTTTTTTGGTACCAGGGATTGAACTCAAGACTTTGCTCAGGACTTTGTGCTTGCAAGGCAGCCTGCGGAACCACTGAGCTAAATCCCCGGCCCTCATTATCATACTTCTATCCATGGAGAGATCCAATAAGGTTAAATGGAATTTGACCTCTGAGGGAGGGCCAGTTGGTCTCAGACGGATGCTCTTCCCCAGTATTCGGCAGTGGGAATGGGGCAGACATCAGATTATCCTAGCACTTAACTGTCCCTTGATTTATGGTCATGAAGGTTGTCATGGCCATGCTGTGCTGTGGCACAGATTACTGCAGGGATATTTGGATATTTTGGGGTTTTCACTTTTTATGATGGAGAATTTGGAAACTATATAAAAACAGGCAAAAGTATGAAGAACTATATTCCATTTTCCTAGATTCAACAGATTTCAACACATGTACTTCTTCACCTTTTATTTTATTTATGAATTAGATCTCAGATATAACACTTAACCTTCATATGTCTGTAATTCCAGCACTTGGGAGGCTGAGGCAGGAGGATCACCATGAGTTCGATGCTAGCCTGGGCTACATAGTGAGTGAGTTCAAGGCCAGCCTGAACTACAAATAGGCAACTGTCTCAAACTACATATAACTACTGTCTCAAAAAAAAACAAAATATGTAACACTTCACCCATGTGTATTTCAGTATGTATCTCCAAAAACTTAGTGTGTATGTGCGTGCACGTGCACAAGTGCATGCTGGGGAAGGGACCCTAGGGCCCCCTACATACTGAGCAAATCCTCTACCACTGAGCCATACCCCAGTCTCTACCACTTTTTGTTCTCAACATAACTAGTCCCACCGTCATACTTCTTTTAGTCAAGGTCCAGTCAGGAATATAAAACAGTAACTTTAGTAAAAAATGCTTAATATAAAAAAACCACTTTACAACAGAGAATTGGCTTCTTGTGCATGAATAACACTCTTAAGAATACAACTATACATATATATATATATATATATATATATATATATATATATATATATATATAAAATGTTCTACACCACTGGTCATCTGAGCGATGAGATTCCATCTCATTCCAGAGAGAATGGCTAATGTCAAGAAATCAACCAATAACCAATGCTAGCAGGGCTGTGGGGAGAAAGTAACCCTTCTCCACTGTTGATGGAAGTGTAGACTGGTACAACCATTGTGGAAATCAGTGTGGAGATTACTCAAAAAACTAGGATTAGAGGTTCTATTTGACCATCTATTATTCTTGGTATCTTCTCGAAAGAATTAAAAGCATCATACCACAGCGATATATGCACACCCATGTTTATTTTTTTTATTTTTTGATTTTTGTTAAATTCTTTTATTGGTACATTGTAGGTATACAACACAATTACATTTCTCATTGGGAATTGTACCTTTACATAATGCATCTTGGTTCTTGTTTTTTCCCCATTCCTAGCCCTCCCTTCACCCCCTCCACCCTTCCCTATTTACAAGGACTTTATTTCCATTTTTTCCATTTCTCAGCATTTTTCCTTTCCCTTCTTTCCTTTCCCCAGCCCCTCCCACTACCCCTACCCCTTTGGACCTTTTCTTCCTATTTTTCATTATCGATTATTCATTCTAATCATTGGTACATTTTAGGTATGCAATATAATGACATTCATCATTGGAAATTTGCACCTTTACATAATCTCTCTTGGTTCTTATTTTTCACCCTTGCCCAGCCCTCCCTTCAACCCCTCCATTCCTCCCTATTTACAATGATTTTGTTCCTATTTTTCCATTTTCTCATATTAATCCCTTCCCTTCTATCCTTTCCCCTAGCCCTCCCACTTCCTTCCCCTTTGCCCCTTTTCTTCCTATTTCACATTACCTATTATACATTTTAGTCCTTATTTACACTTTCAGTTTCTCACACCAGAGAAACTATTCAGTATTTATACATGTGTGTCCTATTTATTTCACTTAAGAATATTGCCTCAATGTGCATCCACTTAGCTATAAATGTCTCTAATTTCTCATTTTTTATGGCTGAGTAGTACTCCATTTTATAAAAAAACCACATTTTCTTTATCCAGTCCCCAGTTGATGGGCATTTGGGCTGTTTCCAAGTTTTAGCTATCACAAACTGTGCTGCTATGAACATGGGCGCACATATATCACTGTGGTATGATTCTTTTAATTCTTTGGGGAAGATCCCCAGCATGCACACCCATGTTTATAGTGGCACAGTTTGTAATGTCTAAATCTTGGAAACAGCCCAAATGCCCATCAACTGATGAATGGATAATGATGTGGTTTTTCTATACAATGGAGTACTACTCTTCCATAAAAAAGCTTGAGACATTTATAGCTAAATGGATGTTCCTTGAACATCCATTTCTTAAATAAATCGAACACGTAAATATTGCCTCGTCTCTCTGGTATAAGAAACTGAAAATTAAATAGGGACCAAAATACGTAACAGACAATGTGAAATAAAAAATCATTCAATAGAAGGGGGAACTAGAGAGGGGAAGAAGGAAAGGAAGGAAGGAAAAAATTAGAAAAGGAAAATATGGAAATGGGGCTTTGGTAAATAAGGAAGGGGAAGAGGGCTGAAGGAAGGGGAAGGGAATGGGGAAAAAAGGAATCAAGATACATCATGTAGAGGTACAAATTCCCTACAATGGATGTGATCATTATGTAAATCTAAAGTGTACCAAAAAAATTAAAAGTGGAAAAAAAGGAATACAACAATAGCAGAAACAGAGCAGTGGCTACCTCAGTGGCTGAGGCAGAGGATTCTGAAGAAACAGATCTGAAAGAGCTGCTGCTCACATCTGAGATCCAGATATCCCTGGAGAGGGCGTGGCTCTGAGGAGCTGTGCTGGCAGGCAGACTCACAGGAAGTGGCATTCGGTGCAGACCCACAGAGGTATGGCCCATGGGGGAGTGTGTGTGGAAGCCCCCTTTGTGCTGCCAATGTCTCTTCCTGCTGGCTGCAGCACACTCCAGCAGATGGCCTCCCAAACACCCAGGAAGAAGAGACCTGCTTCCTTCCAGGGTCCTCTCTGAAAATGCTTAGCATTGTTCCACTTGGCAGGGGAAAAATGTCCCAGTAGCCAAAGCAAGACAAGGAAGGGTGGATTTTTGGATTTAAGAGACAATAATCAGTGACCAGCACAGTCCACCTTTTTGGCTTCCATATGCGTCTTTCTACACACATTTAAACCAAACTACTGAATGACTATGTTTCCACCTAGCAGTATACAGCCAACTTTCCTAGAAGTTAAAAAACAAATCTCATCCTTTCCCCAAAATGAAAAACAGCACGGACCCAGCAGTCACTGTACCCACTGAGAGCTACATTAATTATTCACAAAATTGAATTATTCAAAATTGTAAGGTTTATCCTTAGCTAGTTGTATATAAAACAATATTGGGAAAGAGAAAGTGGATAACGTACAAATAGGCAGTTACGTATGACAAATAAAATTTTTGAAAAGCTACTTACTGCAGTCCCTGTTTTTGTAATTATCTGTCTTCCATGAAGCTGTAGCTGATAGCTATTGATTTCTTTCCCTTGCCCTCAGCCAATAACCTCAGCTTGTTCGAATTCTTTATCCAGTGCATAATTCAAATTGTCATTCCTAAAAGAATGTGAGTCCATGATCATCCAGCTTTTTATTTTTGCACTTTCCATTATTATTATTATTTTTATTTATTTATTTTTTTTGGTACCACAGATCAAACTCGGGATCTTCTGCTTGTGAGGCAGGCAGTGGGACAACTGAGCTAAATCCCCCCGGCCCCTCTTTCCATTATTCTTAACTATGGCACAGGAGTGTATAAAGAGATGACCCAGATAATCCTCTGGGATCCAGACACAGTCCTCACTGTATCACTGCTCCAACTGTGTAGCAGCAATCCAGTTCCCCTTGGCAACCAAGATCAACCATCCCAAACAAGCATTTTTTTTTTTCTGCCTATTGGCCCCATTGCTGTAGGGGGTCCCAAATGGCATCTCACCTCCCAAGTCAATGGAACTCGCATTGTACTCTTGACCCACCCCTTGAGCACTAGCCTCTCTAGCCAGCAGAGTTCAAGATTGCCAGCATGGGAAATAAAAATTTTCTGAGAGTTTTTGTATATGCAGTGGGTTAAGCCACTCCCACTTTCAGCCTTTGATCCTCAGACCCATGTATTCTGATTGTTGTGTGAGGTGTGGCCATTTGCTTCTTATAATAGTATTAGATCCACTGCACATACTTCATCTTTTAAGACATGGTATGTTCCAGCTGGTGCTGTAACTATCTTCATTAAGCCATCCCAGTTCCAGTTCTCCAGCCACTTCTGGATGGTGGGCACATGTGGTACATACAGTTAACTACCTGAATGTAAGCCAACTTCTGCACTTACTTTGCTCAGAAATGAGATCCTTGATGAGCGGTGGTTTGGGTCCACAGATGTGGTGCTGGGAGAGCAGGAAGAGAAGACAACTCCATATTCAGATTATGTATCTAATCCAACAAAGCATGACAGGGTGAATCTGCCCCTCCCAGATAAGAGAGGTCCAATATACTCAGCCTGCCATCAGATTGCTTCTGGGGGAATTGAGTGCTATATTTGGTAGATTCAGTGTTAGTCTCTATTGGTAGATAACAGCACAAGCAAGATCAGTTTTGTAAGGGGAAGTTCATATTGTTGAACCTGCACATAGCCCCCATTCCTGTGCCCGTGGCCACTTTGTTCATGACCTGTTGAGCAAACCCTGTGGTGGCTGGAGAAAGAGACTGACATCCACTCACCATGTAATGTTGTCAACCTTATTAAGAACCTCCCATGCAGATGTCCCTTGGTGGGTATTCACATAAGATATAAATGTCTTCAATCTATGTCTTTTCTGAGACGTCTACCCATGTCTCTGGTTCATTGTCACCAATCTTTCAATCCCATTACAAAACTATACAAAAGAGTAAGTACTGTAGTAATATATTAAAAAATTTAACAAATGAGTAACAAATGCCCCTATTGTGATTTGGTTCTGAAATGGCCTACTAAAGTCTCATGCACTCAGAGGCAGGCCTGTGGAAGGTGATTAGTGCTAAAGGTGACCCACTTGCTGTTAGGAGGTAGGACTTGGTTTAGAGGCAGGTCCCTGGGGGGGAACCTGGAAGGATGTATCTCCCTCCCTAGCTCCTCCTTCCTCTCTGGCTTCCTGACCTGCATGACTTAAGCAGCTTTATTACCCCGGACCTTTCCACCATGCCCTTTCTGCCTGGAGCTAGTGGACAATGAATTGAAACCTAAAAACCATGAGCCCAGATAAACCTCTCCTCTAAGTTGTGGGTGTTGGGTATCATGTCCCAGCAACGAGTTACTAAGACGACCCCCAAGGAAACTAAGCACAGGATATGAGTAGGAAATTAACAAAAAAGAAATACACATGTTAGTAAGCATTACTTAAGATTTATGCTGATATTGTAAAAAGGCAAAGAACCATAACCAATAAAAGAAACTAATCTGAAGGATTACTTCTTTATTTTGTAAAATAGAAATTTTAAAAGAACTGTATTAGAAACCTAGAAATGTTGCCGGGGATTTAGCTCTGTGGTTTCGCCCCCTGCTTCGCAAGCGCAAAGACCTGAGTTCGATCCGATCCCCGGTACCAAAAAAAAAAAAGAAACCTAGAAATGTATGCCCCAAAATATAAATAAGACAAGCTGAATGGTAAGACAAATAATCACTAATACCAATTTTCTTCTTTTATATACTTTTCAGATTTTTCAATAGCAACTATGTGTCATTTTGTAATAAAAATTTTAATTTATGCACAAAACAAGTGCCTAGAATTGCAGTAGGGATGAACCCAAGAGTTACACTTATAAAATCAAACAATGCGGATGTCATGTTTCATTCCTCACGTAGACTGTACATTTCTCATACATGGGCCCTCGTGGTATAGTGAGGGCTCGCTACCCGCTGTCCAGGTCACACAGCCCTTTCTTGTGCTCTTTTCATCTGGGACCTGACCACAAGACAGGGGAGTTGACAACACCCTAGCCTTGGGCTGGCAGAAGTGCGGACAACTCTGCCTGGGAGGCTGCCTGGGCTCCGCCCTTTGGGTCCAGCTCCCGCGGCGCCCGAGGCCCGACCCCGACAACACCGCCCCCTAGGGGTGTGGACAGGAACTGAGCTGCCGGCGCGGTCTCCTAACCTTCAAACCACGTCCCACACCCCGCGACTACGGGCACCTACAGGTCGACAAGAGCAGTCTTCAGTCTTCTGGGCCCTGGTCCCCAGGCCTGCCGTCTTACAGATTTAAGAATAAAATCGGACTCCTACAGCATCACCCGCTCGGCAGGGAAGGGAGTCCAGAGAAGCCTGGGAAAGAACCCACAACCCTCCGGCCGTCCCTACCCCGCCCCTTGCGTCTCTGGCCCCGCCCCTTGTCTGGCGCCCTGACGTCACAGCGCGAGCCGAGCCCTGCCTCCTGTCAGAGGCGGCCATTGTTCAGGGTCGCGCTTGCTTCCCTGCCTTGGCTGCTTCCCTGCCCCAAGTCCAGGTCCCTCGGTACGATTGGGAGAGGGGATCGGGCCCAGGTGCTGGACAACTGGGGTCCTCCGTGCAGGCCGCTATGAGTAAACGGAAGGCGCCGCAGGAGACGCTCAACGGGGGAATCACCGACATGCTCATGGGTGAGTCCTGGCCGCCCCACCGGCTTCCTTCACTCTTTCATCCACGGCCAGCCTGCCTTCTGTCCAGACTGCCCAGTGGAAGGTCAGCCCCTTGCAGGAGATTCCGCGGCGTCTTCCTTGGTTGCCTGATCATAGTCCTCTGGGACTCCTGGTCACCGCCGGCGCGGCCTTTGGTCTGGCCTGGGAGAATTGGGTGGGCATCCCCTAGAGGGAACCCAGTTCTTGTGTGTTTACTCGTGGTTCTTGCTCACCCGATCCTCTCGTTGCCTTTTCAGAACTCGCAAACTTTGAGAAGAACGTGAGCCAGGCTATCCACAAGTACAATGCTTACAGGTGGGACAGTGTGGCATTGGCTAGTAGCATGTGTTCTGGCATGCTCTTGTTTTGTGTAGCAGGTAACAGGGTTGAGGGTCCAGTAGATATTTGGGCCATCTTCAAGAGGGAGAAAACAGCTAAAATTTGGTGGTACTATATTTGACATTTTCAGAAGTTTGATAGAGCTCTGTAGGATCAATTCAGATAAGCTGAATCAATGGATATAGCCTACATATTTTTCCCACCATCAAACGTGACTGTCTGGATTTTAAGTGTGATTTTAAGCGAGAATAAAAGACAGATGAGGTCTGTACTGTGAAATAAATGTGGTTCAAGGAAACATCTGGTTGGCCCCTGGTTGATTCTGTCACATTCATGAGATCCCATCCTTGTCCATCACCAAGGTCCTCAGGACGAGGCTTTCCTAGCCATTGTGCCCACATCCACCTGCATCTGCTCCTTAGCCTGTCAAAATATGCTCAGGAGCTCTTTAAAGTAAAACCAAAGCCATTTTAACTTCCTTTAGCTAGATGCTTATCTCTTTCCTTCAGTTTTCTTGGATAATCTGTTTCATGTGTGGACTTTTTCCTCTGTAGTCATTCCTTATGTCATTGTAGTATAATTTTCATCCTACCATCTCTGAAAATATTCTCATCTATATCTGATCTTACTGCACTCTCAGTGGCATTCACCACATCAAAGTCATTATCTTCACTCCTGTGATAGTATTCCTTCTGCCCTCTCTTCATCTGTCTTGTATTCTTGGTATTTCCAGAAGTCTGCCTATAGCCCTCTTCTCTCCCTTTCACTCTCTTTCTTGGCCTACCAGATATCCAAGTGGCTTACAACCTGAATACCACTTCTATCAGTGACTCCAAAGTTGTGTCTCATTGGGCTTCTCTTCACAGATTTTCCCTTCCCACTGAACATATTTCAAAACTTACTACGCTTCCTCCATTCATTACTTCCTATGACTTCCTAAAGTAATTGAACTATCATCCATATATTGGTAATCTGGAAGTTAGGGAGACAGTCAACCCTATATCTGTTTGTGTCATAGCAGTCAACAGGCATAAGGTGTTTAGTCTTGAAAGAGCTCATCATTGGTTAATGAGAGGAAAAGCAACCTAGACAAAGGAAACAAAATATACCAAGGCATTGAGACTTGAAGCCAGTAAATCATTTTGCTTAAAGGGTATGGCATGAATGGAAAATAAGTCCAGAAAAGCAAATAATACTCTACTACCCCTGCATGCTGCTTCCCATACCTATATACATTACTGTTGGTTGTGGCTAAAGCAATCTTTTGACCAATCCTGTCATTCTTCCATTTTAATTAAATATTTTCTCTTTACCTTGATAAAGCCCTAATACATTGTGGCATATGAATCCCCTTCCCTTTAATGTGGTGCTGGGGATTGAACCCAGGGCCTCACACATGCTAGGCAGGTGCTCTGCTGATGAGCTTCAATTTTATTTTGAGACAGGGTTTCACTAAGTTTTCCAGGCTGACCTCTAACTTGTAGTTCTCTTGCCTCAGCGTCCCAAGTAGCTGGGACTGTGGTGTGTACCATCACACTAAGCTCAAAAAGTCTTTCATGATCTAATTTTTCTTCCTTGTCAGGCTCTGTCCCATAGTGCCAATTATCTGAACCAACTTCCTTTTCCTGAAATAACTTTCGTAAACTACCTTCAGCTTGCTTCTTAGCCTATGAATATGTCCTTTCCAAACTCATCATCAGTCATGTACTAACAAAGGAGTTGAAATCCAAATTTATTTGTTTATATGTGCTAGAAATACAATGAAAATCCATGGTTCCAAAGATTACTCAGTGTTTATGTTTTAGACTTACCTGTATTGTTGCTTTTTAAAAAAATCAGTACATGTTTGTAGTACATAATGTTTACATTCATTATGTACATGTACATAACATCTACGTTCATTATGTACATGTACATAACATCTTAATTCTTTTTTTCATCCCCTTTCTCTTCCCTCCCCCACTCCATCCATCTCTTGATACACATCCCCTTTTTTTATTTTGCAGTACATATTTACATTTCTTATGTGGAATTGGTACATGTACATAATACATTTTAGGGTTAGGGGTACCACTCTTCTATGTCTCAGTCCCCTTCTCATTTGAGAAAGGTATATTTCCCTACCTCCTGTTGTCTATCTTGTATTTTGTTCTTTATTTATACGTTGTTTTTCTCATGTAGGAGAAACCATTCAATATTTGAGCATGTATATCTGATTTATTTCACTTAACATTATAGTCTCAAGGTGCATCCATTTTCCTACAAATGATTCAAGTTTATCTTTCTTTATTGCAGTTAGTATACCATGTTTGTAAATACCACATTTTCTTTATCCATTCATCTGTTGATGGACATACAGGCTGCTTCCAAGATTTAGCTGTTTCAGTTGTGCTAGTATAAACCTGAGTATCACTATAATATGATATCTAACTCTTTGGGGAAGATACCTAGAAGGGAATAACTGGGTCAAATGCAATTTCTAGTTTCAGTTTTTTGAGGAAACTCTGCAACACTGATTTCCATAGTGGTTGTAGAAGGGTTCCTTTTACTCCACAGCTTCTCCAGAATTTGTTGGGGTTTTTTTTTTTTAAACAAGAAAATATATCTTTTTGTTTGTTTGTTTTTGTTTTTGTTTTGGTACCAGAGATCGAACTCAGGTCCTTCTGCTTGAGACTCAGGCGGCGGAACCACTGAGCTAAATCCCCGGCCCCAAGAAAATATATCTTTATTAAACCAATAAAATTTATTCTTCCAATAAAATTCTGACATTTCCTCCAAAAATTAATATGGAGTTAGTTACCTTCTGGTCCAATGATTTTACCTTTTGATATGTTTTCAGGTGAAATAAAGTAATGATATTGATTTAGGGGAAAGAGATGTGACTCCCAAACCTACTAGATATCCGAAACACGAGTTTGTGTTCTCTGAAATTGAAGAATGAATTCTAGGAATAATGGAGGTTAAAAGTAGGAAAAATTGGGCCGGGGATTTAGCTCAGTGGTTCTGGCACCTGCCTTGCAAGCGCAATGTCCCAAGTTCGATCCCCGGTACCAAAAAAAAAAAAAAAAAGGAAAAATTTATTGAGAGAAAGAAAGCTTCTGTCTAAGAGACAGAAGTGGGATCCAGCATTTGCTATTATTTGATTTCTTGTTGATGTCCGTTCATTCTGGAGTAAGATGAAATCTCAGTGTTGTTTTAATTTCCAGTTCTCAAATGCCAGAGATGATGTGCATTTCTTCATGTATTTACTGGCCATTTGTACTTCTGTGAAGTGTCCATTCATTTTAGTTTCCATTTCTTGATTGGGTCTTTTATTTATGAGGTTTAATTTTTTGTTCGTTCTTCTTATATTCTAGATATGAGTTCTCTTTCTGAGGAATAACTGGCAAAAAGTTTTTCCATTCTGTTGGTTGTCTTTTCACTCTCTTTTTGTTGTTGTTGTTTTGGTACCAGGGATTGAACTCAGGACCTTGCACTTGCAAGGCAGGCGTGGCACTGAGCTAAATCCCTGGCCCATCACTCTCTTGATTATTTCTTTTGCTGTCCAGAAGCTTTTTAATTTGATATAATCCCATTTGTTGATTCATGGTACTATTTCCTGATCAACCAGGGTTCTGTTCAGAAGGTCCTTGTTCAGCTTATGACTTCGAGTTTTATCTACTTTGTCTTCCAACAGGTTGGTTGTATTTCAACATTTAGTTCTTCGATCTATTTTGATTTTAGTTTGGTACATGGTGAGAGACATGGGTATAGATTCAATCTTCTGCATGTGGATAGCTAGCTTTCCCAACACCATTTATTAAAGAGGCTATCTCTCGTCCAGTGTATGTTTTTGGCCTATTTGTCAAAGATCAAATAGTTGAATATGGTTGGGTTGTTTCTTCATCCTCTATTTTGTTTTTTCTTTTTTTCTTTTTTTGGCACTGGGGATCAAACTCGGTCCTTGCACTTGCGGAGCAGGCGGCAGAGCCACTAAGCTAAATCCTCAGCCCACTTCATCCTCTATTTTGTTCCATTGATGCTCATGTCTGTTTTTGTGTCAGTACCCTGCTGTTTTTATTACAGTAGCTTTGTAATACAACTTCAGGTTGGGGATTATGATGCCTTCTGTTTTGCTCTTTTTGCCCAGAATTGCTTTCACTAATGCTGAGTCTCTGCTGGTTTCATACGAATTTTTGGATTGTTTTCTCCAGTTCTGTGAAGAATGCTGTTGAAATTTTGGTTGGGAGATTGAGTTAAATCTGTATGTCAATTTTAGAATTATGTTTGTGCTAGTTCACAGGCAACTGAGGTTTTGTTCATAAAATCTTTTCCTACACCAATGTCTTCAAGAGTTCTACCTAACCTCTGCTCCAGCCTGTTCAGTGTTTCTGTTTTAATATTTAGATCTTTAATCTATTTTGATTTTAGTTTAGTGCATGGTGAGAGATATAGGTCTAGTTTTAATCTTTGGCAAGTTGAAACCCAGTTTTTCCAGCGCCATTTATTAAAGAGGCTATCTTTCCTCCAGTGAGGGTGTTTGGCTTCTTTGTCGAAGATGAGGAGGCTGAGTGTGTCTGGAGTTGTTTCTGCATCTTCTAATCTGTTCCACTGGTCCTCAGGTCTGTTTCTTTGCCAGTACCATGCTGTTTTTATCACAGTAGCTTTGTAGTATAGTTTCAAGTTGGGGATTGTGATACCCTTTGCCATGTCTCTGTTATCTAGAATTGCTTTTGCTATTCTAGGTCTCTTCTTGTTTCGAATGAATTTTTGGATCGTTTTCTCAAGATCCATGAAGTATGCTGCTGGAATTTCAATTGGGATTGCATTGAATCTATATAGCAGTTTTGGACGTATGGCCATTTTCACTATGTTGTTTCTTCCTACCCAGGAGCAAGGGATGTCTGTAGGGAACAGGGAAGGGGGACATTAGTAGGACCTCTGCAGTAAGTCCTAGTCTCCTACGAGCCACAATAGCACAAGGGGAATTGACTTAT